AAAAAAAAAAAAAAAAAAAAACACATCTTAGTAAAACCAATACCTTCTCAGCTTCGCATCGAAGCTAAAACGTTTATTATATATATATTGTAATTTTTTGTAATTTTATAAATAATATTTACATACACGAAAACACGATGATACGTAGATTTTTAATTATCAAATATATTTCCAAGCAAGGATTCGGAACGGATCAAATTTTGTTCCGTTCCGACGATTTGCTCCGGAACGGAACACTAGCTAAAAATGGTTTCTCAAAAATGCTTTGGAACGTTCCCATTTAGTTTCAACCTTCTGATATTTATTAACCACATTTAAATTATTATTATTAAATTTTTTCATATTAATCTACTATTAAATTTTAATATTTTTTTTAGAGGTGGGCCTCTTACGGATTCAGATCCATGTACTTAAGTCCAACTGGGGAGCGTTATATTTATCATATTCAAATATTTTAACAAATTGCATTGTTATAACTAGATTTATTTTATTTTAGAAATTAAAATCCTTAAAAATACGTATTTTTTAAAAAAATTTAAGTTAAATAAGCCTTATGTATTTCTATATTTTAAAAAATGTTTATTGTATAATATTAATGTTTAAATATTATTATTATGAGGATGTCATTAAGAGAATAAAACGATTTTAAACATGTTTTCCGTCTGCACAACTTTATTTGATCTGTATTGATGCTAGAGTCTCAAAATTTTTACCAAATATAAAGAAGAAAATTATCAGTGACCTAGCGTTTTTATTTTTTTCATTAATATAATTTCTAATATTTTATATTCTAGTAAACATTCCTATTTTTTGGTTTTTTAAATTAAATTAGTTGTGTTATCAAAATTATAAAACGCTAGATCACAGATAATTTTCTCCTTATAATTTCTTTTAATATCGATGATTTTGGTGAAAATACAACTTAATAAAAATTGTCCCATCCGAAACTTTTTTTAGAATAACCTCTTTTCCGAAGTAAATTGATGGAACAATTTTTAGCATAGGTTCCGTTCCGAAGCGAATAATCGGAACTATTTTTAGGAAAAGTTCCGTTCCGGAGCAAATGGTCGGAACGAATTTTATTAGTAGTTCCGTTCCGAAGCAAACTTGGAACGGAACAAAATTTCACGATCCGGACACAATATTTTTGTTCTGCTCCAAATACCTGTTTCCGAGTCAGCTCAAAAGTATCAAAATGTGCTGTCACTTTTCAGAATGAAATCAACCCTCACATCGATTTCAACATTATATTTATGCACACAAGATTTATGTTAAAATAAAGATTTCTTTATAAATCAATTATATAAGATGTTCAGTAAGTAAGAAAACGGTTTCAAAATTTTACAAAATTTTAATTCAGAAATAACTGTTTTGAATGTGTTTTTACACTTATTGTCTTAAATGCAGTCATTTAAGACAATAAGTGTAAACGATGAATTTTTTACGAAAATGAAATTTTTTAAAAGGATTTTATGTTAGTACTGAAAACTTAATTCATGAAGTATTGTTTATTACATAGTATTAAATATTGTACACTTTTCATTAAAACGTTTATCATAAATAGAAAAGACTTGTATCTTTAATTCTTTATTAATTAATTATTATTTTAAATTATTTTTTTATGGCGATTATAAAATTATTGTTTTTATTTTTGGTGGGCTTAGTTATTACATGATAATTATATGTGGATTCTAAAGCTAATGAATAGGTACATTTACTTCAAAAAATATTATCCAAAGTTACATAATTTCAGTATAATTAAGATAATGTCATCTCACAAAAACGGGACTACTATTCATTAAATTTAACGATGAAACAATCGACAATAATGTTTACATAATGTAATTGTAATTGGTCTGAGTGGTATTCCATTTCTAATAAAGTTATTGGTAGCGAGAATCATGTTATGTAATATTTTGATCTTATAAATAATAATTCTAAGATTATAAAAAAAGTTTAATATTACACCCTATTTATTTCTTGATTAACTTCTTATATTATCATTACTAAAAATTAGTCAATTTCAATTTCATTATAAAATTACTAATGAGACATTTTATTTACAGTTTACAACTTTTTGAGTTCTAGAATTGCAGCAAGATGCTTATACGTTATTAATTCCTCTATTCAAAATTTAATCTTATCATCAATATTCGAAGCACTATCTGGTATAGAAATAACCTTTATACTCTCTATTTGCTTTGATCTGTTTCCTGACGAACACAGGTAAGCTACAGAATATTTATTTTGGTAATTTATCGGGCTTAACTAGACTAGTAATGTATAATATTGTATTCAAATCTAATACGATTAGAGATTAGCCATGTCCGTTGGTGCTATTTGTGGTAGAATAGAAGCTCTCATGGAGAACGATGTCCTTGGAATGTTTATCGACTTGCATTGTGCTGTGCTTATTATTCTTTCAAACTCATATCTTTTAAGTAATTGCAATAAATTTGTATTTATTATTTATTTACTTCTCGTTATTTCTATAATGTGTATAATAATTTACCATTTTTAGTTTTAGCTGCAGTAGCAACTAAAGCACCAACAATGAAATAAGTGCTGAAAATGTTATATAATTGTAATTTTGTATGATATTTTTAAAACCTAGTTTCTATATACAAAAAAAAATATTATAATTTTATATACCTAATTAAAAATAAATAAAAATATGTGATACTTTGGACAAAAAAATTTTTTTAAAGTTATTAAATTACGCCTAAAATCAAAAAGTATACACATTTCAAAAATAAATAATCTTATAATATCTAAAACAAAAGAAAGAGTTGTAACGCCCTAAAGACTTTTCTCCTTGACATTTTTTTTTATTTATATTTATATTTTATTTATTACTCATGCATAACAAGGAGTCCTAACACGCGCCCTACATACAGTTCTTACACTAATAAAATAATATATTCCAAGCATTCATCATTTTTACCACCACTCTGACATAACGTCATTTTATAATGCCGAAATCATCAAGGAAATGGCATAATATTTTACAAAATGTATTAAAACTAAAAACATATTAACCTTGAATATTTTTACACAAGTTACATGCGTATCTCGCCAAAAAATGCAAATTGTAGTTAATTCTTGAATTTTCATCAAACAACAAAGAATTTAAATAATTAAGTATTTCAAAAACTCTTGAAATTTTAAAATTCTAAACGTTTTTTTACATACACACATCGCCTACTATTCTACTTTGTATTTTAATGAGTTTTCAGTTCTATTTTCATTTTAGTTGACCGATTGAATTTACGGATATTGTGTTTGTAAACTTGCAGAATATTAATAGGGAACAGTTTTGAAGAAGAAATATTTTGTTGTGTGCTGTGTCTAGACCTATTGTATAGCTATGCACATCATTACTTAAGTTTTGAATAGATAAATTTCACAAAATGGGAGTAATTTGTCCAAGTGTAATTCATTGGAATACTTTAAGTTTCAATGCATTGTTAAAACACAAAATTATACATCATATAATAATGTATAATTAGATTAAATAAACTGTTTAGTAGTTTAAAAAATCATGTAAATAATTCTTAGCATTAGATGACTTTCGATTTTTTTTTCTTTTCTATAAAACGAAACAAAAGTTCATCTTACTAGAAATTTGAGTTGTCATTAACAACTCAAATTTGTCAAAATTACATACTTTTGAAAATTAATTTATGAACACATATATAAGTATTTCTGTGATCTAACTACATTGACAAAAATATTTATATAATCTAATTACGTTTAAAATAAAATTAATAGTTTAATCTATTTATCATAAACCACTCGATTACTATAAAAATATTGATAACTTTTAAAATACTGGTTCAAAAATTGTTATCGATTGGTTATTTTCCTATTTTATAAGTTAATTATGTATGAATATATTCAATTAAAAAAACGGTAACACAGTGAAGTCGCGGCACAGTGTGAACGTAGCATAGTAAGGACAAGTATAGATGATATTTGACAGTGTTTAAAATCACTATCATAAGAAACACTTCGATGCAATTCTGTAGATAGTGTTTAATTTTAGGAAATTGGTGAATTATTCAAAAGCAAAATTCTAACCCAAAAAGAATTATGGAAATATTGCAAAAAAATTATTACCACAGGCAATTACTGAATCAACCAACGTTCGTCGCATTCGTCATTTGATAAAATTGGAAATTTAAGCTAATTCAAATGTTAAAATTACTTTTTTTGACTCAAAAGAAAAAAAATTGAAATAAGTTTAACTAATAAATAATGTCAATTATATTTATATAATATTCATGAAAATCAGTGTATTCCCTTTATAAGGTATATTAAAATATAATACCAAGAATTTGAATGAAAAAACAGCATATTTTTGAATATGATTTTGAACAAATAAAATATGATATCGTAAATTGTAACACCAAAATTGCATGTTTTTTAACTACAGAAAATAAGTCATCGAGATAAATTTTTTTTTTAACTAATAGTGCATAACATTAGCTTTATTTTAACATGTGTTTGAAGCTCGAAGTATTTCCGGAACATTTTCAAAACTTAAGTTTAAAAAGTTAAATTTTTGTGCTATTTTGCTATTTTAAATCCCCACTCTGTAGGCAAGGAAAGGTCAAATTTTCGAAAAATGTACATCAAATAAAAGGGAAATATCTTAGGTTTCTAAAAAAAAAATAATTATTTTGATTTGTTCTTTTTTCAATAAGTTACGGTAATTTTTAGGGAAAAAAATGTCAAAATTTACCGATTTTGAAAATCGTAATTTTTTGGGGGATTTTCACCATTTACGGTGAACGAGGGAAAAAAATGTAATTTTTGTGGATAATGTCTTCAGCTAGATACGATTTGTGATCTTTTTAAATATCATTGATAAAAATCGGTGTAGTCAAAGTTGAAAGAAAGTAAATACATCGTGGTCAAATTAATATCTTCTCAGCGTCGCATCGAAGCTAAAATTAAGTCGACACCTTTATACGTTATAAGAAAATATGCTAAAAAGTAATTCATAGATGATAAATCATGAAATTTATGTAACTGAAAACAAAAAATATTTTTTTTTACTTGTTGTATTTATTTGTTGAATAATTTGGTGGTTTATAATAAACGGATTACTATGTCTATACAAGTGCCTCTCGATCTAACTAACGCGTACAACATATAATATAATTATGATTTTGTATAAATTTTTTTTTTAATTGTTACTTTTTAGTATACGTTTAATGAATATATTTTATTATCTATAATAAAAAAAACAAAATTGTTTTCCTCTTTTCAGAATTTTAAAACAGAAATTTTTTTATCCCATTTCTTACACAAATGTTGATAAGCTGATAATAATTTTAGGACAAGTTTTAATTATTTTAATACATACAATGAGTATGGAATACAGGAGGAATATTCGTTCGCCACCAAAAACTGCACCCACTTTTACTAAACTGTGGTTATTTCAACATATTGGAAAAAAAATAAAAATAAAAATTTATTATTTTTGTGACTAATAATGAAAAATCATTTGAACACGCATTAGGCGTTATCTCAAGCTTTCTAAAATAAAATACTATATATTTATTATTTAAACAAACATACTTGAGTACTTATACCTGAGTACTGAGTTAAAATATTTGAATACTGTATTTAAATCTTTTATCTTAAGTATGTAAAATCATTTTTTAAACATTTTTGCAAAGTAAACAAATCATTAAAAAAAAAAATGGTTAAAATAGAAAATTATAACAAAAAACGTTGTTTTTTTTTTACAAAAATAACAGTTTTTGTTGTATAACTTCGAATGCCATTTATAAAATACAAGCTATCGGAACAAATTTTTTTTTAACTTATGGGGTGTACCATAAGCTATACTTCAACATATTTTTAAAGGTCAGAGAATATCTAATGGTTAACTTATCGCGTAAAAAATGCTATTTTGAATTAGCACGTGACGAGTGAAGAGTCAGGTTTTCAAAAAGGTATACCAATGAAATTGTAATACCTATAGTATTTTTTTAATGTTATAGTTTTATTTTGATTTATTCATTTGACAGTTATGTTAGCAGTTTAAAGAAAAAAAGTCTAAAAAATGACTCACTTTCTGATTTTTATAATCGTAATTTTTTGAGGGGATTTCTCCTAATTACAGGAAATTACGGATTTTTTTCTTCGATTTTTGAGGGCAATGTTTTCAACTAGATACGATTTGCAATCTTTTAACGTATCGTTAAAAGAAATCGGTCCAGTGAGAGCTGAGAAAAAGTGTTGACAAAGATAAACAAATCAAATTAGTTAACATATCATATTCTCAGCTTCGCATCGAAGCTAAAATACAATTTATATATATTTATTTATATTATTGATATTATTTGCACTAATCTAGAGTTAACAATCATTCTAAAATGTATTCATAACTAAAATAATTGTTTAGTAATCCTATTTAGTAAAACTAGATAGCGCTATATATTTATCACGATCTTTTTTAAGGATTTTATAATGGTAACATTGTATGTTACGCACGCTGTTCTTTGTTTTAGTTATACAAAATAAAATATTTTATCATAATAGTATTTGATTCATCATAAAAAAAATGTTATTTGGGTGTCAAGGTATTTTATATTTTAATAATATTTAATGCGGCAATGTCAGATGTTTATTTAACTTAAAAATAGGAAAATGAACTAACTAAAAACTTTTGAACCAGTTATTATAAAGATATCAGCACTTTTATAAAATGGCAGAGGGGAGTAAAGAAGTTTTGTTTATTTTTATCTCTGTATAGTATTACACTGCTACTATCTTTTAAATAACTTATTTAAAAGTTATTACCAACCAGCCATTTTCTTATTTCTAATCTAATTAAATATATATATTTCCCTCTAAAACTTCATAATACTTTAAATGTTTTGATTGTAATGCCTTAATAAATGAACCTCAATAAATTCAATCCTAAATTTATAAAATATGACCATAACAATGATGAAATTTCTCAAACATAGTTAAACTCATTAGCATTATTAACTGTATGATCTTCAGTCCCCATAAATTAATAAAATGTTTTAAAGGAATGTGATAAAGAAGCTTCTTAAATATTATGAAATAGCCCTCACAGACAAATTTTTCAAGTTTCGCCCATTGTTAAGTTATAACACACATCCTGAATATTTTAGTTTATAAGAAATATCTCTAGTAAACAATTTTTTTACCAATATTTTTAGTTCTCCAACAAACAAGCATTTGTATGCTTTAACATTTAAAATAAGTATTTACAAATGATTGAACTTATCATAAAAATTGTATGAAAAAAAAATCTTTTGTCCAATTTTTCTTTAAATCTACGATTTAAGTGAAAAGATTGATGTATGACAACTATAATTTTATACATATAAAATTTTCTGTATTCAGTATTATATTTCTAACATTCTTATGTCTTGTAAAGAATTTCAACTTCAATTAACGACAATGTAACTGATACTAACTGCTGATAGAAAAATAGTTTCAATTAAATATTAATGCCTTCAAATAATTTACACAGTGGATACAATCTTTGATCGGCGGACTCCCATAAAAATCACATCTTTGTAAAATATCGATACCTGTCTGTACAAAATCGATTATACGTAAAGTGGCTTCATTGGTAAGTAGCAGTCGATATTGCAGTTTATGAAACCTGAATCACATGTTTATGTGCTCGTATCTTTTGTTTCCATTATTAATACATACAATATAGTAACCCATTGATAAAACCAGATGTGCCGTGTCTATGTTAGTGAAATATTAGCTTAATCAAATATTTATATGGAGTACTTAACTATTAAGATTAAAATTAATTAAAATCAGTCGGCACTCTCGTTTTATAAGGTAAGATTTTTCTAATTATAGTTACAAACATTCTGTCAAACAGAATACACAAAAGCGCCCATTTTGATATTTATAACCTTAATTGTAATAAAAGTTAGGATTTTATACCTAAATATTTAAGAAATTTCTTTCAACATTATTTTAAAAAATTATTTAAGGATTCCATAAAATCTTCAATAAAAATATATATATATCCGTTGTTTCCTTATTCAAATAAAGCAAAAAATACCGATTTGCGTGATATTTACCCTGATTCAATGATCAATAGTAATCTATTTGACTCACCACGTCTTTAGTTTATAACCACATCAACATATTTTTTTTTTTGTTTTAGTGAAAATAAATAATTAAGGAATAAAATATAAATAATATTTTTCAATTTATATTTGCTAATCAAAATATTATTTTAATATTTTAGCCATAAAACCTAAATTGAGTAGAATTGATGTTATTTTTAATTACCCAATTCAATTGAAATTTAACAAAGACTACAGTGAAAAAATATATTGTAGTAAATAGGTAAAACATACTTCATATTTAAAGGATATTAGCAGTCAGAAGGAATTAAATAAGTGGTAGAGATGCCTATTTATTTTTACCGTACAGGCATGAGATTCATTTTCCAAATCAATTTTTTTCTATAGTTTTGTTAATAACTTTAATATAACTTAAAATGATGATTTTTAGACATTTTTAAATTTATTTTTTGGGTTCCTAATTTAAACAAGTCTAGTAATAAATTATGTTGGACAAGAAAAATCATTGTCCCGGACAATATTTGAGTAGTATATGACTTTTATGGCCAAGAACTGGCTTACTGGAAAAACAATATTTTAAATAAATTCCAAACAAGTATAATAAAATTGTTTTTTCAAACATTTTTCTTTTTTTTGAAAAAAATTACGTATAATACATAAATGAATGAATATTCATAAAAAAATTAAACGCATATATTAAACACTTAAAAAGTTAATACTTAATATGTGAAGTATAATGCATTATACATTTTTTACCGGCTTTGCTTAATTTATGAGTTGAATATTTTCCATAAAAGTGGCGATCATAATTATCTTTAAATAAATTATTTATAATCTTGTAAGTGTCTGATACTCAACAAATGGTGGTTTTTTCTTTTCTAAATTGAAAAATTTAATTTACTTTAAAAAGACTATAATTCATACTTTTTAATAGCATAAGCGGTTGTTTATAAATTATAGATAATTATCTAAAATTCTATATACAGATAAATAATTTTATCATAATCCACTTACTTAATAAAAAAAAATAAAATAGATAATGTTTTTTATTTCTTTTAGGTACATGTATTTCTTAATTTATAAATTATAAAGAATTTTTAAATATTCATCTCTTATATCTTAAAGGGTGTCAACTTAAATTTTTCAAATCTTCTTCTTCTTCCTCGCCTTAATCCCAACTACTTGGGGTCGGCCACACTTATCCTAAACTTCCACTTGACACGATCTCCCACATCATCTACACTCACATCAGCCTTCCTCATGTCGCATTCAATAATTTCCACCCACCTCTTTTTTGGTCTTATTCTACCTCCTCTTCCTTCAACATTCATTTCTATAACTGTTCATACTGCTTCCGATTCTTCTCTCCTCATAACATGACCAAACCATTTAAGTCTATTTTCTCTGATCTTATCCACGATTGACGCTACATCTATACTCCCTCTTATATGCTCGTTCCTTATTCTATCTTTTTTAGTCCACTCGTTCATCTAAGCATTCTCATCTCTGCTCTACTTTCTTATCAACCGCCCAACATTCTGAACCATACATCATAGCTGGCCTTACAGTCTTATAGAATTTACCTTTTAGCCTCTTTGGAATTCTTTTATTGCATAAAATGCCAGACGCTTCTCTCCACTTCAACCACCCGCACTTAATTCTGTCTTACATCCTCGTCAATACCACCACTCGTTTGCACAACTGACCCTAAATACTTAAAACTCTCTATCTCTCCAATCACGTCCTCGCCTATTGTCACTGACCTCTTCATTTCACCTACCTCGTGTTCTCTTTTGTCAAACTCGTACTCTATATACTGTTTTTTACTTCTACTTATTCTTAAACCCTTTTCTTCAAAAGCTGATCTGTACACCTCCAGTCTTTGATTAATTTCCTCCCTATTTTCTCCTATTAACACTATCAATTTTTCAAATGACAATACAAATAATTAACTAGCTTACATAATAGATAATGTAAAAAATGATGAAGCAAAAAAAATTACTGGTTGATAACAACATTTGGACCAGAATTTCAGAAGTAATTACAAATTTAAAGAAATAACTGGAAGAGAAACGCGGGTTCTATTATTTTAATTATTAAACATTTTCTCTTCCTACCGACCAGGTATAAAAATATCATTAACTTCTTTAGCGCGATTTATTCATAGTAAAGTTATAATTAATTGATACAACAAAAAGTTTACAAATTTAAGTAATTTGTTGTCATTGATTTATAAGAACAGTATTAAAAGTATTTAATACGAACATATTAAAAGAATTAAACCTAACAACCACGAATTTACCTTAAATTTCTCAACAGAAAAATTCTTAATCCATAATTTTTAATAATAAAACAATGTCCAAGGAAATTTTTCTATTCATTTGTTTTAAATTTAGCTATATACAATTTTAATGAACAAAGACAATTTAATTCGTATGAAATAAAGTTATTCGATTATTATTATTACTAAGCTTCGCCTAGCTGTGGTGGAGCTCCAGACCCGATGGCCTGCAGGCCACACGAACTCGCGGCGTACAGGCCCTTCAAACTGTTCTTACATGTAGGCCACTGATTCCGTTAGGATTACCTGACTACGCCAGCCGCGATATGTGTTGTGTAAACAAAGTATAACTCTAAAAGCAGTTACTAAAAAAATAGTCCCACTAGTAAATTAAATAATAATACCATTACAAAATACTTAGATGCATTCCCTATATTTCGTAATATCCTACTAATTATTATTCATAAAAAACAGGTAGGCGAAAGAAAACTTAATAATCATTAAATACAAATTTTAAATGTCGTGTTATTAGTGATAACGACATAATCAAACATAAAGTTAAAACAAAATTGACATACACAAAACAAAATCATATCCTAATAGAAACTATGCGCGTGCACTTAAAAAATAAACAAAAAAAAACTAGGTAAAAAATCGATAGATTTCAACGAATTTTTCAAGGTAACTTTGGAATGTTTCAGCACATACCTGGTAAAAAATTCTGGGTTTAAATTGAAAAACTAGCATTTTTAATTAAATGTTTAAACACTTATGATGTGTTAAAAATATTTTCTTATCTTCTCAAATAAATTTCCTAGAATAATGTTGTAAATATATAATTTACATGAATTTATTTCTATGTTTAAATATTGAGAATTTACTTTCAGAAAATGGGTCTACTTGTAGAAGAAATTGGCAAAGAAACGAATGGTACTGTATTTCTTTTTTTTTATTTATATTAGAAATAAATGAATAAAAGTTTATTGTAAAAGCTATGGTTAGATATTTAATATCATCAATAAATAATTTGTTGAAACTAATGAAATAGACATAACCTTTAGATTACTTAAAGAATAGCAATAGTTAAGTGTACTGTGCGATACCATAGTTGCCATTATGAGACATCATTAAAATCATACACATGCCGATATTTACAAAAATCGTATAATATTACATTCTTAAAGTAAATTAAAAAATTCTCTAAGTATATTTGTATTAACATATAGTGTTTTATACAGTATTATTTGAAAAAACAATTATTTCTTTCAACTTTTCATACTCAATTGAATTTGTTAAAAAATATTTATGTAAATACTTATATATAATTTCTATTAATATGTAGTAATACTTTTACGTATGAATATTAAATTATAAGGTCTAGTACATAAACAAGAAACAGAACTTTTTTTACTATAAAACTGTTATAGTATGATACAGTAGTGCAATTAAAAATATAGGATATGTTTTAGAATTATATTAAAGAAAATTTTTAAAATCTCTCCAAACGAAAAAAAATGTATTAATAATGATACAATTTTTGATACATTATAATGATTCATTATCTTGCAATTACTTTTATTCTGATGATTTATCCCTCTCATACGTTATTTATTACTCTTCTGATGCAGTGTATTACTTTTTATAATTAGTGTCTGTGAAATTTCACAAACTCTCTATAACACATACAAACGGTCAATCGCAGTAAATTTGAAAACTATGTTATTTAACAAACATTTTTTTTTTAATGTACTATCATACTTTCAATTCTTTAATAGTTATATTATATTGTATAAATAATACGAATTGTTAGAGCAAGTATTGATAATTTACTGTTATATCAAAATACTCAAAATATTAGAAAAATATCAAATTTTTTATAGTTTTAATGTAAGAACCAATGTTTTTCCTCTTAAAAAACTTTAGTAGTAATTAGGTCATTAAATTTTTTGTAGAAATTTAAAAAACAAATAAAATAATCATTAAACATAAGAATAAACAATAGACAAAACTTTCAATTTTTAATTATTAATAAATATCTACAGAAGCGTAGATATAGATTATTGATGAGCAGGAGTCAATATATAAACTCTCCATTATTTTAAATCTAATTTGAATACGTGTAAAAATATTCTTAAACATTATCTTCCTGAATGTGTTTTGTAGTACGTATACCAAAACAAATATGCAAAATAATCCTAATTTACGTATTTAATAAGTTTTTAAAAATTATCGCTCTAACAGCCAATAAAATAATTTCCTAAAAATTACACTATCGTAATTTTTTAAATCATAAAAATGTTTATATACATTTAATATACAATTATTTTGTAATATTTGTTTTACAAATAATATCAAAAATTAATTGATCTTTAGAAGATAATTTAAATATGAAAAAAAAATTATTATAATAATTTTCAAACAAAATAATCATACGATATTTTAGTTTATTTAATAATACCTGAATTAAACGTTTTATCAACAAAAACAATGTATTTATCAGCCGAAAATAAAATTGATGTTAATCATAAATATTTTTGTTCTTTATTTATAAGTTATTTTTCAGTAATATGAGTACAAATGAATAGTTGACAATAAAATTTCCTTAACATTTATATGAGAATACAAATTAACAAGAAAATAGAATACAAATTTGACAAAACTTATAATTAATTACTGATTTAACGATTTTATTTTATTTTCAGAAAAATCACTTGAACTTCACCCGATAACTCTTGATCGTCACAAATTACTTGATTCAATTTTAAATTCAATTGGTAAAATTCTTTTGATCTTTATTTCATGTGATAATTTAAAAACACAGTCCTTATACAAAATCAACTATAAATTTTTCCTACTTCCATGATTTATGACAATAATGATATTATCTTTTAATAATCAATATTTTCTAATTAATAAATAAAAATCTAATAATTACTATAAATTAATTAGGATGACAAAATTCAAATTTAACATTTGATGTTTTACTTTAAATTAAGCTTTCTATTGAATTATGAAGTTTTTGAAAAAATATATATATATGTATATCTGTATATTACTATTCATAAAACGAATACAATTTATTTAAATGCTGCTTATTTTACCCATTTTTAGAAATTATCGAAAACTACGATATATTTGTATTAAATTAGATTTAAAATCCAAAGTCAGCGGTAAAATTCCATTCAGAATTATATATTGATGAATTCAAACATTTTTTACATTTATATAAATTTATCAACATTTTAATAAAGTATAGTAATATATACAGGGTGATCCATTTAACATTGACCAGCAAATATCTCAAAAACTATTTATTATTTTAATAATTTTTTTTTTAGTTTATTTTTTTAGTTTTTTTAGTTTATTTTTTTTAGTTTTATGTAACTAAAATAATTTTAAAAAAAAATTATTAAAATAATAAATAGTTTTTAAAATATTTGCTGGTCAATGTTAAATGGATCACCATGTAATAATAGTTGTTATAGTATAACAATATTTTTGTTAATTCTTAGGGGTAGGAAAATTTCAATATTACTTGTTAGTAGTATGCGGTGGAATGTTTATGACAACCGCTTTAAGTCTAACATCCGTATCTTTTGTTATTCCATCAGCTCAATGTGATTTAAATTTGACATCGTCTCGAAAGGGAGTTTTGAGTGGAATGTCAATGTTTGGTAGTTATTCTTCTGATTATCCATCCATGCTTGAACAATAATAAAATAATGTTTGTTGATATTTCAGGTATGTTATTTGGTTCGTACCTCTGGGGAAACTGGGCTGACGTTAAAGGTCGAAAGACTGTGTTATTTATGTCCTTATTAATTGATGCAACTTTTAGTATATTGTCAAGTATATCACCAACCTACGAACTGTTTTTACTATGTCGATTTATGTGTGGTTTTGGGTAAGAAAATAGTAATTTAACTGCTTTTATTTTTAATTTATATTTTTTAACAGTTCTGATAAAAAATAAACATTGAAAATTAAATAATTTATCGATGTTCAATTAAAAACCAACATGCCATTCTATTTTTTGAATATTAACATTTATAAAATGTAAATTCTTTTATTTAACAATATTATTTGTAAAAATAATTATTTATATAATTAATAGTAATAAAAATAAACATTGCTATCAATTTGATTTTGGAATTAATGTACTTTTTATAACGTATATACATCATATCTATATATCTATCAAATAATTATATTAAGAAATAAAAATTTCAGCACATCCGGAACTGCAGTTGTTTTTAGTTATTTGGGTGAGTTCTTACCATCTAATCACCGAGAAAAACTGTTGAGTACTACGGAATTATTTTGGACAATTGGAATCATAATTGTTCCTTGTAAGAATTTAAAATAGAATAATTTCTCATTTAAGTAATTTCAAACATTTTTTTTTATTATAGTTTTTATGGGCCATTTAGGTCCACTGCGGCAACAACCACTTGCCTTCAGACGTCTCTATTTTGAGCTAGTTCTTCCTCGTCGTTTACTCTCAACCTCGATGCATCTTTTGTAATCCTGCCTTTCCATCGCTGTCTGGGCGGTCCTCTCAGTCTTTTTGTGTCCAGTATCCAAGTTGTGGCCAATCTAATAAGGCCTTCGGACCTCCACAAATGTCCAGCCCATTCGAACCTACTACTCTTAAGGAATCTAATTATATTTATTTCTCCATACAGTTCTTCTACCTCTCAGTTCGTGCTTAATTCAAAGTCCCATAGAGCGTTTCTTTTTGGCTTAAATATCCTTTTATGTACTTTTTATTCAAAAGTAGCTAGTCTATTTTCATCCGTCTTTGTTGTTGCCCATGCGCCACAGGTGTATAGTGCTACTGGTTTTATCAAAACTTTTTACAGCGTTATTTTCGTTATCCATTATCTTTGACTTAAAAATGGATATTACTCCATAATAACATTTATTTGCTCCTACCAGTCTTAGTCCTATTTCTTCGATTCTCGTTGCTCCAACCAAGGTTTTTCTCATAGCTGATCCTAGCGCTATATTAAAAAGGGCTGGTGACAAAGAATCTCCCTGTCTTAAGCCTGTTCTCACTCAAATTCTTCTGATTCCTCCCCTCCGTATTTTACTATTCATTTCGACCTATGAACACATGCTCGAATCATTCTTATGATAAATCTAAGTATCCCCAATTGGTCCATTACTTTCCATAGCCTTTCTCTATTCGCTGAATTGAATGTAACCTTGAAGTCCTCAAATAGTAAATGGACATCTTTGTCAAACTCATGACTGTTTTTGATTATCTGTTTAACAACATGAATTTGGTCCAGTGTTAATTTACCAGTCATGAAACCTACTGGATAGTCTCCAATAATTTCCTTTATGTACGGCTTTAATCTATTGAGTAAAACATTCTAAAATACTTTGTACGAGGTATTGAGTAGGGAGATCCATCTTGAATTCGTACAGTTCATGGTGTCGCTTTTTTTGAATACCAAGCATAGTTTAGAGGTGCTTCATGCTATTGGTATTTTCATTTGATCCCAGATTTTAAGATTAGCTTATGCAGCTAGAATAGAAAAAAGCAATTGATACTCTTTCGTTCTTAAGACATTCCGATACTATATCTTATGCTTTAGATGCTTTCCCACTCTTTAGCATATATAGCCCACTTCCTCAGTTGATGGCCATTGAATATTTTGTTCAACCGTGCCATACTCTTCTGATACTACATCTCTTCTAGGTTGATTTAAGAGTGTCTGAAACATGTTCTTTAATTCCTTCGCTATTTTTTATTTTCTGTTAACAAAGTACCATCCTCCATTCTTGTGATTGTATATCTAGGTTTAAAACTTCCTTTTGCCTCGTTCGCCTTTTCGAAGAATATCCTTAAGTTATTTTTTTTTTGTTTTTCTCTATACTCTTCACTTTTACATTTTCACATAATCTTTATTCATCCTAATTATTCTTTTTGTCCCTCTCTGTTTTATGACTGACATTCATTTGTTCTCCTCTGTTGGGTCTTGTACCACTCTTAAACGTGCTTTATCTCTTTCTACAATAGCTTCCTTACATTGTACAAAAACCATGATTTTCTTTTTATCCTTAGTTCATGGCCCAAAACTTCTGCCGATCTTTTGATTACACATTATTTTCCAGCATTAATTTATATCTATATTATTATCGATCTAAGTACTCCTTATTTTTTTTTTGTAATCTTTGGCCTTATTTTACTTGTTAATTTTCTTTGTACACTTCATTCTTTTGTACTTTTTATTGATATTCTAAATTTGACCTTGATTCTTGGAAGTGATCCGAGACCGCACTGCTTCCTTTTATGCTTCTTACGTCGTTTATATCTAATCTAATTCGGTAGTCTACCATTACGTGATCTATTTGGTTCCTCACCTTCCCAAATAGTGATATCCAAGTCTGTTTGTGAATATTTTTATGGGGGAATATTATACTACATATTCTCATATAGCAGTTTCTAACAAATATGAAAGTTATTTGTTTATCCCCATTACCATTTGTATAGATATGCAAGCTATCCTTTCCTATTGTTGGTCTATATACTGCTTTCTTCTCAATTTTTGGGTTAAAATCATTAAAGATGATTTTTAGTTTTCCGGTTGTTAATACATCGCAATGTTTTTAAACTACTTGATCCATCCAATCTTACTTCTTGAACAGTGGTTATATCCAATTTGTATCGCTCCAGACACGATACATTTGTCGTCATAATTCCATTTCGAGCGCACATTCCATGTTCCAATTAGTATATTCATAAGATATATTGTACGAGGCATTGTTTGTTATTGTTCCGAAATCATTGATGTTTTATGTGTAGGGTGATCAATCCCACAACATCCCTTATAAATGGAGTGCCCAAAATTACTAGGGTACGCGGGTTCGTTAGGCTCGTTCCTCTAAGATAGAGTACCCTTGCGGGAAAATTCAATAATATTTAATAAAATAAATCTTTATTTTTAGGTATTGCATGGCTGGTGATACCAATGACGTTTAGTATAAAAAATGATTATATTTATTTTTCATCTTGGAATCTATTCATTATAATATGCTCGTGTCCCAATATAATATTGTCTTACGTGCTGTACAAACTTCCAGAGTCACCAAAATTTTTACTTTCTAAGGGTAAAGTAGACGAAATTGTTCAGTGTTTGGAAACTATATGCAAATGGAATAAAATAAAAAAGTCTCATGATTTCAATGTAAGTAATTTTTTATTATAACAAATTATACAGGATAACAGCCATTTTTTATTTACAATTTTTATTGCTGATTCAGAATTTGGCTTTTTATTACATATAGTTTTTGATATTTTTAATATATATACAATTTTTTAGTATATATACGATGTTCTCTGTTACTTGTTGTCCTGTTTAATTATTAACATAATTTCACTTTGGTATTTTTGACCTTTTATTATAAATTCCAACAACATTTTTTTAGCCATTTAATAAAAAGGATAGTTATAGTAATTTAGTTTTTATTTAAATTTATAAACTATTAGAACTATATATTTATAAATTAGTGTTATAAGTCTAAAACAATTTTTATTGAGGTTTCTAAATACAGTTCATATTAAATTGTAATACTGTGTAGAGAAATTCCACTATTACTTGTAAATATTTTATTTATATTTTGATAGCTTATTTCATTGATACCAAAAGAAACCGAAAACGTTGACACAAATATAGGCTTTTTTCAAAATTTTTTTGTTGGCATACGAAATTTAATGTTTTCCAAATACTGTGTGATTGCTATACAATCTTTCATCCTACAGTTTGGTTCTACTACCAGGTAAATAAAATTTTAAACAATTTTCCCATATATTTTATTAAAACTTGAGTGTTTTATATTTCCTCATACAGCTTTTACACGATTATAATGTGGGCTCCAGAGCTCATGAATAGGTTCAAATATTATGAAAATCTAAACTCGCCCTCTTCTAACATCAGTATGTGTGAAATAATGTCTTTATTTAAAAATTTAACAACTTCTACTGAAAATGTGTGCATTGATACAATCGACAATATGGTTTACTTGAACATTTTTCTTATCGGTGTTGTAAGCCTTCCACCTTGTATCGTAATACCATTTATGGTCAAACGATGGGGTTTGCGGAAAGTAGCAGGTGAAAAAAATGTTATATTTTTGTACCTAATACTTAAAAACAATAAATAAAATGTAATAAAAAATGTCTAATTAGTATTAAAAAAAAATTTCAATTATTTATAACTTATAAAAATTAATATAAAAAATGAATTTATGCATTGTAAATATATAATTACAGTTATGTGTTTTTTAACATCCGGAATTGCAGCAGGTTGCCTTTATTTTGTGAAGAACTCCTTCCAAAATTTTATGATGTCGGCTATTTTCGAAGCTCTGTCTAGTATTGGAATAACTTTAGTGTATTGTATTTGCATTCATCTTTTTCCTACTGAATTAAGGTTTGTAATGAGTTTATCTAAACAAACATTTGTACATTTTTTTGCCCCGACATAAAACTTTGTGTAATTCGATCATTTTCATTTTACTCAATTTTCACATGATTTTTACAAAATCATAAAATAAATTAATATTTTGATATACAAGTAGTAAGATAGTTAAGGAGCATTTTAAGAATATATTTTTTTATTTCTTTTGATGGTAATACTTTTTAAGTCAGTTTCATTTTCAAGGCCCGGATAATAAAACATTAAATGAACCAAAAGAACAAATTACATCTTTTAAAACTCATTTAAAAATTAAATAAAATTATTTTAACCCTAATTGTGCTTAGTAAAGAGTTCTAATATTAAAAAAATTTAAATATTTACATACACATTATGTTTAAATTGTGTTTTGAATTTATTTTTCATCTATGGGTTATATAAATTATATTACTTTATTTTTTTAGAGGAGTAGCTGTATCTATTGGTAGCATGTTTGGTAAATTTGGAGGTCTTATGGGCAATATAATGCTTGGTATGTTCATTGATGTATATTGTGCTGTACCCATAATAATATCATGTTTGTTACTCATTCGTAAGTTTTCCTATTTTTTTTTACATTTTGTCATTTTTTCAATATTTCATTAAATAGATAACCATTTTAGTTACAGCTTTAACATTGCTCTTCCTACCAAACACAAAGAAAACAATATTAAATTAAATGAAAATTAAAACTAATGGAAATTTTTCTCGAATAGAATACTTATAAATAACTTACAATAAAAAAAAAGTGTTTCAGTACTTAATTTATGATAAAATTTAAAAATTAAATGTTTATTAATAATATGACGTTTTTCTTTATTTGAAATGATGAATTACTGTTGTTATGTTTCATTGCTTAAATTTTTGTTATTCCAAAAAATTCATTGAATTATGTGTTTTCCTTACTTATTAATTTTTTAAGTATTTGTACATTCAGGAATTGACTGAAGGGTATTCGGCTGAACAGCTGTGTATACCGGACCAGGAAAAGTTTTTTTTTCTCATCAATTCAAGTATTTGAGACAAATTTAATAATTTGAATGAACATTAGAAGTTAACCTTTATAAACCTCTACAATTGTTTGGTTATTATAATATAAGTCCCGAAGTTAATTAACTTAAATTATTTTAAACCCATTAAACCCATTAAACACTTTATAAATTATCCGTCTATAAACCTTATAAACACGTTTGAATATCTAACTGTTGTACAAAATGAAAAAAATACATTTTTTCATATCAATCAAATATTAAGACAATGAAAAATAAAATGAAATTGTTAATCGTAGCGGATTTTCGGTTGTTGCTACAATGATAGACACGCACATTGTGCTGTAACATGAATAATAGTCCAGTGAGTTCCTGTGTACATTGGAGAGACTAAATAAGTTAAAATCACCACACATAACAACAATNCAATGAAAAATAAAATGAAATTGTTAATCGTAGCGGATTTTCGGTTGTTGCTACAATGATAGACACGCTGTGTACTGTAACATGAATAATAGTCCAGTGAGTTCCTGTGTACATTGGAGAGACTAAATAAGTTAAAATCACCACACATAACAACAATTTTAAACATTATTTCTATGTAACATTATTTAAAAGGTATTGTTTTTTGTTAAAAAAATTTCAATTATAGTCTGAAAGTAAATTTATAATAAAACCACAAATCAAAACATTTTTTTTATTTATTTACATATATACCATACATTCAAATGTATTAAACTTGAATCTATTAAGAATATTCCACCTATAAAAACTANGATTATTTAAAAGGTATAGTTTTTTGTTAAAAAAATTTCAATTATAGTCTGAAAGTAAATTTATAATAAAACCACAAATCAAAATATTTTTTTATTTATTTACATATATACCATACATTCAAATGTATTAAACTTGAATCTATTAAGAATATTCCACCTATAAAAACTATAATTTTACTACATCAAGAAAAAAAAATTCAAACATACATATATAACTTGTTGGCTATACTCATTTTTTGCTTATGATTATCATAAATGTCGGAATTCAAAAATTTTGATAAAATGTCAAGTTTTCTATCTTCGTCATACATGTTATTATTTGATCGATAGTAAAAAATATTAATTTAAAATTAAAAAGCTATATTACGTATATTTTAAATTTATTATTATTTTTTTAAGGAAATATTAATAGGGTCAATTCGAGAGAACTTGTTGGGAATCCATCTAACAATTTTTATTTTTCCATTTCAACTAATAATATATTAGCATAATAAAGTTCATACAGGAAACGTCTTATAATTATCACATGATTAAAACTAATTATCGTTACCCCTCTCTGTTATTATCTTAAAGGTGGTTGTATTTCGTGATTCTGTAAACTTGAATCAGTAACACTTCTACTTCATTTTTATTCAAGAAAGAATACTTTTAAAGATATTCAAAGTTACTGCTGTTCGCGTGTAAAAAAAAAACCTTCGTTTTTTATAATAAATCAGGTATTTTAATAAATTTTACTTGGCAATAAAATCTTATAAATAATAATCTTATTATTTCCTTCGATTTGAGAAAATCAAATAACGCATATTATAAGTTAATTGATTTACGGAATCTTTTTTTCATTGGATATATAATTTAAATTACAACTCAAATGTTGAATAAATAGAATTTAAATTTTCTAACACTTTTTTAATGTAATTTACTTAATTTGATTCATTATTTTATTATTACTCTGATTATTTGAAAAACAAAATTTGATGCACTAATGATCATAAATAAACACACCCAAAAAATTTTTCACTAGCCCCTCCAAACCAAAAATTGGTATGTNACAAAAAAATGTTCACTAGCCCCTCCAAACAAAAAAAATATAAATAAATTAATTAATTAATTAAAATCTATATGTGCGCTGAGGATCAGAAACTTATTGAAAGCCACATCAGCTAGACTGTTTGTTGCTAGTTTTGTTGCATTGAAATAATTTTTATGATCAATGCGCATTCTTTATTATGTATGACTAATTGTAATATTACAAATAATAAGTATTTAAAAACGTAATTTACTTAATTTGATTCATTATTTTATTATTACTCTGATTATTTGAAAAACAAAATTTGATGCACTAATGATCATAAATAAACACACCCAAAAAATTTTTCACTAGCCCCTCCAAACCAAAAATTGGTATGTTCACTATGAAGATAATTTTGTTCCGGGAGGATCTATCCCTATCATCCTCTTACTACGCTAATACTAATGACAAGTAGTGGCAACTTTATTTTTATGCGATTAAACAAAATTAGTATATTATTATATGTATACTACTAAAATGTAAAACAATTTTATTAATAATTATAGGGTTAAAACAAGATGAAATACTACAATGTATGACTTGTCAAGTTTATTATTACGAAAATCCTAAAGATTTAAGAAAAAAACTTTACTCTATTAAATAATATTGAATACTGTTTGAGCAGTTTTATTACTGTTATGCGTACTAGTTAACAGTTATTGTATAGGGCACCGCTATTGTAATTTAGACGACAAATGTATATTTTAGTAGATACATTGAGAGATAACTATCATTGTAACCGTTATCATGTACACAATATACACGGAAAACTATTTTTAACTATATTTTATGTTGAAATATAAATAAGAAATGCATTAAAATAACCGCCAACAAAATAGTAATACTAAAATAGTTTTTTTTAATTTAAAATTACTATAATAAAGTTATTTTAATGCAGTAGTTTTATAAAAATTAAAGTGAGTAGTATGTTGTAATAATCATAACTGTTTTTTTATTATTTAACATGAAACATTTTTTAAAAACTGTATGTACACTAGTAAAAATAATTAAATTCTAAAGGTTTTGACTTCATGAGCTGCCTTATGTGTTGCTAACACTATCATTTACTGTCTGCAGATTTTGAAAAAATGGAATTGAAAAAAATTAAGCATCTCTTTTTAATTAACTCAAACAGCATTCCTGATTTTTATACTTGATTAAAACTAACGAGACAATTAATTAAATTATTACTTGATACAATGTTCAATCATACACCAACAGTAGAATAAATAAGTACTCATTAATATTGTCTGCAGACAAAATTTACATTAATAATACATTTTTTATCAGAACACAGCTATTTCTGTACTTGTAAATTAATATTAAGATGAATCCAGTGTTTTAAGTAATAAAAATTATAATTTTCGTGCACAATATCAACTGAAAGTAATCTTGTACACTAGTTGTATCATGTTTCGCATTTTAAAAATAATAAAAAGATTTTTTTAATTATAAATTTTTCCTTATACACGCAATGCGCTTATTTCAATGCATAAATATATTGTTTAATATTCATAATTACAAACAAAATTTTTTAAATTCTTATATAGATGTGATTTACTCAATTAATTAAAGATAATCTGTATCAAAAATTAGGTGAATTTTATATGGAATATTGACACAGACTTCGAATCTAGCTTTAAATTTATCCATAACATCTAGTTTTTGTTAATTACTAATTAATAATTTTGCATTAATTAAACTACTAAATCATAATAAAAAATCGAAAAATATTTTTGTTTAAAGCTCTTCTACTATAATTAAAAGATATTAAATAATATTTGTACAACATTTGGGGCTTATCCATAAAGTTAAAACTTTTTTAGAGACTTTTACAATAGTTTTTTTTTTTTTTAATGAACTTATCTCTGTAACTATTTTTAGATTAATTTTATAATTACGGATTTACTACGAACAATTAGATAATTTTATGAAGAATACAAAAATAAATTTATTTGTTTTTTTTACGTGACAAAATTGCAATTTTAGGAAAAATGGTTACATAAATCTTAAAAATTTGTAAAAACTGCAATTTTACTTTTACAGTACAATTTATTGTGAATTTTGAAAAAAAAATTTAACAGCCTTATGTATTTTTTGACGTTTTTGAGAATATTTCAATTAAATTTGGCATACTCAGCTATTCAACTAGTTTTAAAAAGAAAGTCATTCATACTTGTTTGGAAGTAAAAACCAAAATTGAGTTATATATGTAAAACAATTAAGACTTGTTATTATAATAAAATATAATTAATACGATATAGTAAATATAAATATAATAATATTAATATAATCTAAATACTTTAGATTATACAATTCTATATTATAATTATAAAATCAAAATTATACAATTTAGATACTAATTTTAGCAACTTTTAATTTTTCTTTGAAAATGTAATAACGTTTGTTTTTGCTGAATCTAAACCAAATGAGACCTTACTGGTGCGTAATTAACTCTTAATTACGCACCTGTAAGGTTGAGGGGGAAATATCGCCAGAATAATAATATTTACATGGTAAAGATATGTTTTCGGATTGGAGGGGGTTGTGAAAATGTTTGTTATTGTCCCCGTCAAACAAATCTCTAATACGTCATTTATACCCTTAATTACATAATTAATTATATTTTAAAACTAAACTTAAAGATATTTGTATGTTTAATTGTCTTAATAAATAAAATTTAAAAAATATACATAGTATACGATGTGTATAATACTTTAAAATTATATTTTCTATATTTTTTGTAAGTGAAATATATGTATAAACACGTAAAAACTCCTTTTTTGTGTTTTAAAATGGCTTGCTTTAATTTAAACATATATTTTTATTTATAGAAAATATTATATATGAAATATTATTTTTGTAAATAATAATTCCATATCACATATTTTCATATAATCATCTAATCAGTAAACTATAGTGTGACCTTGTCGGAATTCGTTTTTTTTTTTTACTATATAATACTTCAAATATTATTTTTAATGTTTTCCTACATTATATCTATGACTATCATAATTTAAAATATATAAATGTATACTTATATACACAAATTATACAATTTATGTGAGTTAAAATATTTGAAGAATTTTTACTACAGAAGTTTTTATTATTATTTATGAATCCTTTTTTTTCTGTTCGTTGTTTAATTAAATATAATTTTTTTAATATTTTTTACTTTTCGAAAAAAAAAAATTTATTCTAAACTTCATAATAAATAGTTAAATATTCAAGTAAGAATTTTGGTTTTGAGAGCATGGTCAGATAAATTCTATAACAACCAAACGGTATTTTTTTTCACTCGACAAAGAAGCCGCATTATACTATTCGATACGAAGAGATATTGAATCATTTGCCATCACTCTACTCTTTTAGTCGAACCGTTTCACTCCATAAATTGCACAATAAAACTAACTTTTAATGATGTGCTAAAGATATGTCCACATGATGAATATTCGAGAATCACTAGAGTTAGAGTTTAATCGAGAAGTAATACTTAAAAAATAGTATTTCGATGTATGGTAGTTTAGCAAACAAATTTCTCGTTGATTTGGTGTCCCAACCTTCGAATACGGCGTTTATTTAAGAAAACCGATCATAATCACTTAATTTGCATGCAGGTCACGTGCTCTACCATATAACTTCCTCTCCATTCTGCGACATATATGCGATACGTACAGGCCACTGTGTTTTCTTCCTCGTATTTTTTTCTACACAATACGTGTTTTCATTTTTTAAATGTTTCTCATCTGATTTATTTCTCCTACCTGTCGCGTACTCGTTTAAAACATATTCACGCGTAAAAAAAAGCTTCACAATACATCACTAACAAAATATTGTTATAGCCGTGTCATCGACGCGTGAAACGGTGGGGAGGGTACACGGAGCCGAGCCCACTGAAGAGCCTCGCACCGGCAGTGGTGGCGGTGGTGTTATCGCTGTCGATATTAATGTTTGTCGCCGCCGACAGTGAAATTAATGATCAAACGCCTATTGTCGGGTCAGGTGTGTGTGTGTGTGTGTACTTTTCGAAGCGTTACGCCGGTTCAACTCGTCGAAATTTTGCATTTGCTCGTCACCCCAATTCTCACATCCTCGTTGTCTACCCAATAAAAAATGTGTGTAGGTGTGTATTATTTTTTACACAATTATCGATTTAGTCTTTTCTAGGAAACCCTACAAATACGTACGCGCCACGGCTGTTCGTAAAACGGAACGTTCGGGTGAACGCGCGCGCCTCTTCTCCGACGTTTTCGCCGTGTGCCATAAATGCGAAAAGCGATAGCCGCTCATTCATGCAAATGCTTTTTACCGTCACGGATATACCGTCGCGTGGCATGAAGTAGCTACACAGTGGTGCGAGGGGAACATGACCGATCCCGGGGGATAGACGTGATGACGCCGCCGGGTACGCCGCCCAAACTAAGGACTTCAGGTAAAAACGCACAAAGATAACGTACGAATAATTAATTTTACCTATCTTAAGCTTAGAATGTACGGGGTCCGGTCTGAAATGTTTCTGATTAACGGCCGGAATCGGTGTAATGTAAAAACGCACGAAAGGATACGGTTTGTAAAACACAGCTGTCTTTAACGCTTCCAATGTACTCTAGTTAACGTTTGCACACGTGTGAAAACATCAACTCGAACACATACTTTTTTTATAAGTGACAAATATAGTACGCTATTTTTTTTTAGACCTAATGTATTAACTATTGAGTAATGTTCGATAAACGTTAATGACAAAATAATTGTATACGTTTAGTAAGGTGATAAATTATTCTTTAAAAAATTATCCACAATTTCATTACCATGCATTTTTCCATCGATCATTCGAACTTGTCATTTTTCTAACAACTGGCGTTATGTATAAAAATATAAGGCAAAATATTGAAAGTAATCGTGACAGGTGACTTTTATTAATTCGCCGGCTATTAATTTACTCCTAGTGGTCGTTGTGTCGTCAACAGGATAATGAACCACGGAGCCGTTCGTTATTTCTTAGTAAGACGTCGATGTCATCTTTTATTACAATACAAAGACCCATTGAATAGTAAACATAAAGAGGGTGTAAAGTAGTGCAAGTGCACTATACTTGTACGAAAGCGATTGCTAAATATTTTATTTTGCTTCTTGACTATCAGGAATAAAATAGTTTGCATTTTCAGTATCGAATGAATAATAGCAATTTTAACACGTTCCAGCTTGACACATATCAATTGAGTTGCAGGACATTGTTGATGAATAAGAAAAATAAATAAATAGTGTTTGAAAATACCTAATGTGTTGCATAACTCTTTTATCCACTGCATTATTCATAATGGTTTTTACATTTTATTTTAGTTATTGTCATTTTAATTAATAATTAGTTCCGAGATGTTTAATTCGTGACACTTTGTTGTATTGTTCGTCAACCGAATAATGACGATAAATTATGTAGCAAGCACAGGCCTGGAATCGTTTAAAATATGTGTGCAATAATATTTACTAGCTGCTGGATAGGACCGTACGTGTTCTAATAGCTGTTTGGTTTGTTAGTGCTTTTGTTCAACGCAGTGTTTAGTTTATAGGTATACTGCACGATAATAATACACAAACGCTGACCGAATTTACAATTAACAACTTTTCTTAAATAATATCACACGCCCCACTCGCCTACCAATCGATATTGCGGTTAATGTGTGGCTATCACGATAATTCATTTGAAAAAGATGTTAATGCCGGTGAAAAATATTTGTGACAATTAATGGTACAAAATTAAACGAATTCATTTCGATTTCATCCTAAGTAAGACTCGTTTTGTACAGCTATTTTTTGATAATGCGGTAGAAAAAGCAGCCAACATTTTATTGAAATATAAACACGAAGGTCGTCCGCGTGTGATTTATCTATATACCTATCAGTCCACCACTGTCCGGTATATAATCAAACTGGACAATCAGGTAGCTAATAATAACAATTAATGAACACATACTAAAATTAGTTGCATGGTAACATTGATTATTCTATTTTGGCGGCCGCCGAATACGTCACAATGATATGTAGAAACTTTAAACTGTACCTATTCAAAAAAAATTGATTTGTTTACGTTATTTATTCACTATTTTACGTCTTAAAATTATAAAAAAAAAAAAGATGTAAAATCATTTATCTTCCGAGTACGTCATTAGTTGCAAAATTCAACATGCTAATATTTGCCATTACCTTTAGAATGTGGGTAATTTAATCGTTTAAATACAGACCAATTGCTCTGGGAAACGGGCTACTATCATATTGATGTTATTATTTCTAATAATCCAAGAATAAGCAATAATAGTCATGAATTGCACTAGACCAAAAATGATGCTTGTTGCCAATGTTTTCAAGTGGTACGGTTATGTCACGATCAATAAAAACATTTGTAAGGCGTTGTGTTTTATAATTAAAGTTTAATCGTGATTACTATAAAAACAAAAAGTTAAAATTACCATATTCTAGTTACTCATTGCGTTATTTCCCAAAAAGTAGAAACTACACTGTATCATATATTTTCCGTTAAAGTTTTTAGTAGTGTTTATTGGTCATAATACATATTGTAGGTCAATAAAATATAATTAATGAAAAGTAATTTTTTTAATTAACTTTGTCTCTATTTTTTCGACGTTATTTTATAAAGTTTACCATTAAATTGTGAGTTTTGAAATTTATTGAACAATATAAAAATAATAACTATAGTTTGACACAGTTTGTTTTGTCTACGTTCTATTTTTTATGGACGAAAACAATTTAGATTTTAATTGGATAATGTTAGGATATTTTATTCACAGCCATCAAATAATTAATTAAAAATAGAGTGAAATATTATTGAAAAATATTGTCCAATAGATGGATTTTTATCATAGTGTATTTCTAATTGAAAAGTGACGGAGCGAAAAATTCTCTAATTAATTTTCGTGTCTGTTTTCAATGAAATGTCAATATATAAATCTGTGTATTTTGTTTTTATAAATTTTAAAACTTCTCATTGGTAAGTTAACAAAACTTGTTTTTTATGTATTTTATTATAACATTTTTTTTTATTTGTAGGGTTTATTTAATATTATATCTACTGATTTAGATAAGTTTTAAAGTTCATAATAGCTTAAAAAAATATTGTTCATAATTTAATACAAAGAGACTTTAAGAAGTTATGAACTAAATTCGATATTCTAATCATTGTCTCCGCCCATTACAGATGATTAGAACAAAGCTATTTGTAGGGTTTTTTTAGTAAACTGTTGCTCGGAATTATGATTTAATTTATGCACATATTATGTATACAATATTTTGTAGAGCTTCTTTACCTTGTTTTTATCCGATTTTCTTGTCGAGGTCATAATGTAAATCAATATAAAAAAATTATAATATTTAAATTGAAGCCATTAATACTTTTTAGTAATGGCTTATGTAATTACATAAGGATAAGTGTTTAAACTAGCCTTATGAGATTTAGAAAAATTTGATTTTTAAAAGTGAGTTTATTCAATTTAAGAAATGTATTGTTGCAGAAAATCAAGACAACGATGATGTGACTGTAGTAGATATAGAAGATGACACAACTTTTACCCCTCGAAAAAACGATGGAAAAAAGCATGTACATTTTTCAGAGGAAACCATCACGGTGATGATTCCTAGTCCACCGAAAGGGTTTTGTGATTCTGTGAAAAAACTATTGGACTTTGTTTGTTGTTGCGGATGTCTGTTTCCAAACTACTTATAAGTCCTTAATGTGATATTTCTCCTCTTTCATTCATTAGAATATTTTTAAGATCTGTGTGAAATATACCTGTTTACTCGTGTGCTCTAAAATTATTATTTGTTTGTATATATTATAAAAAATGTTATATGCTAATATAGATTATGTATATTTAACGAATATTTTATAAATATTTTTCCTATTTTTTTTTAACTAGAAGTTGATAAAATATTAAAGCAAAAATAATTTGGTGCGTATTTTTAACAATGGTATATGGAAATATGTTCGTGTATTTAGCGGAGAGTGGGCGAATGGCACCTACCTAAGGAAAATTTGCAATAAAATATTGAGTGACTCCAAAAGTGAATGAACTAAGGAGATGGATTCTTTGTAGAAGTCATGTAAAATTAAGTTAGGAGTATTTCATCTTTTTAAATTCTTTGCTAATAATTTATATTTCGATGCCCCAAAATTAACAAAGTTAATAAATATTATTCTCAGATAATTTTTTTATAATCATAATGTAAAAATATTTATAATTAAATAATACAAACGATTCAATCAATTATTCTATGTTTAAATTTGAATTTTCCAGTAAATAAACTGTTATGAGGGACGGTGTGGCCAAGTCGGTCACGCGGGAGTGTCTAATGCGCACTGCCTCGGATCGACTCTCGGTCACAACCGGTTTTATTTACTGAGCAAGAGATAAGTTTGGTAATTAGAGTTGCCATCTTTCTCTCCAGCGACGGACTAATCACTCGTTCTGTAAAATAATAGTTAAAAAACCTCCTCCTTTAGGGAAAGCCTCCACAAAATTAGCAAAATTCATTCTTCTCACCTGCTGTCATAACTTTAAATTGTTAATTACTTTTGAAATACTGGTCCAAAAGTTGTTATAGACCAGTAATTTTTTTAGTAAGATCGGTTTTTATTGAATAAGCTAGTCAAATATGTATGTTGACAATTAAAAAAATTAAGTTGATACCCTTATAAAATAATTGGTGAATTTAAGTAAAAGTAATTAATAACTGATAAATCAATAAATATATGACAATAGAAAATACCAAAAAAATTTGTATAACATGATTATTATTTATAGAGAAATCGAGTAACTAGCACTAGAAAATCATTTTGTAGCATAGATAAGTATATTGTTTTGTAGATCCATAACAATAACAAATTTATCTTAAAAGTATGAAATTAAATACTTAAATAAAGTTAAAAGTACACAGATTAGTTAATAATAACGATATTTTATGTATTCCTGATAACCAGTACCACTAATATTTTTGTTTAACAAAAAAATCATTTTTTAACCTAGTGATTGGCATTTTCCAATATTTTAAAATATGTAATAACTATTCGAATTGTTTTTATACAACCCAATAGTTTATTTTTAGCATAAAATATCGAATAGTTTTAAAAACTATTATCACTTTATCGTGTTTAAGTGCTTATAATTTTATAACAATGGTTATAAATATTTAATTCCAATGGACAGCTAAAGTTACTTATATTTAATGGGTAATAGTTTATAAATTAATTAATTTTACTAAATATATAGATATTTGCAGCTTAAATCGTCAATATAATAAAAATTGATCACTTGTGGCTAATTAATTAAGTAAAATTAAAACTATATTAAAAATATTATTAATTTAAAAAACTAAAAAATATTAAAAATATTAAACTCAATTAAATCGTCAAACCGATGATGATGAACAAAACTAGTTAAAGCAGCTCTCCCAAAAAATTTCTTCTGGATCCGAGCCTGTCAAAGAGCGGCAAAATCCCACTTTCTTTTAAATAAAGAAATGAATCATGATTGTTGATTAAACATGGTAAAATTACTCGAGTTAGGTGTTATTTGACTTAAGTATAATATTAGTTCAAAGTTAGTTTTATAGCTGAGTAGCATTATTTTTCATTAATTGATAAGTAACGTTAAGTCATACATGTCATAAATATTTAAAAGCAACGCTCTTATATCCAGTATCGGACTGGCTCACATTAGGGCCCTTGGTATTTAATTTATAGTTAGCTTGAGGGTTCTTAGTATATAGATCCCTAATTGAAAAAATATCAAAGGATTTTCGTTAAATGACGANAAAACAACGCTCTTATATCCAGTATCGGACTGGCTCACATTAGGGCCCCTGGTATTTAATTTATAGTTAGCTTGAGGGTTCTTAGTATATAGATCCCTAATTGAAAAAATATCGAAGGATTTTCGTTAAATGACGAATAAGAAGTTCATAATCAAGTTTAATATACTTAAATTAATTTTTTTATGTTATATATGACATAGTATATTGTATATGAAATATCATAAAAAATAATTATTTTAATTTATCTGTAAAAAACTAAAGAAGTACAATTGCCTCATTTTTCCTCTGCGGATGTCCATGTTTTGATCTGAGAAATATTGTTTTATTTTTAGAACAACTAGTAAGTAGGATAATAGGTCGTTAACTGGTCAAAGTGATATTTTACTATCAAAAATTGTGATAACATTCTTATCTACTCTTTATTCAATTATACGGTTTTAAACGTAATGTAAGAAAAATGACAATATTTTTTAAAAGTTAACTAGTTTACTATTTAACTTTCAAATCTAATGTTATGTAAAATTTTAAATAATTGTAAAATCTTTTTATTATTTAAATTAATATTTACAAACAAATTTGAATTTTTCATGTTCACATAAATATTTTAAACTTTATTAAAACAATTGAAATGTACGTGGAAGTTATTTCTGACTTGTTAGATCTGTTCAATAAGTTATTAAACGTTGTGAGTACTATTTAGAATTGTGTAGTTTATTGATTGTGTATTGATTATTTACTAATTTTTCTATTATGAAAAAAAAAGATTGTTTCATAATTTTATAGTTATTTTTCAATATGTAGTTATTGAAATTATTCTTTAAGTAATTGTATAAATATACTTATTGAAATATCATTAGATGACTGAAGTAGGAGTTCTGGATTCATTTACATTTATGCATTCGGCTATTAAAATAAATTCAAACCATGAACAGTTCTTAAGAAGAATTCAGACTTCCATTGATGAATTAAAGGTATAATAATATAATAATATTTTAGTGTTAATATATTTTTATAATTGACAAATTTTTAAAAAGTTTGGAATAGTTATTTATAGTGATTTAATCATAAATTTATTAGTGGCAATACAATTAAAAATCTTAATAAACAAATATGGTGTTTAGCCCTCATATATACGCCAATTACTTCTTAGTAATGTGTCCTTATACACTCCCTATAATTAATAATCATTTGTCATAAAAAGTTCTTTCATGATAAAATTATTTAAAAAAACATTATATAATGAACAGGAAAATGTTGTAATACTATCAAAAAAAAAAAAATTCTTCATTTATCATATTCCCAGAATTTATAGTACAAAAATTTTTATATTAAACAAAAAATTAATATAATATTGAGAATTTTTTTTTATTTCATTTAGGTTCATGTATTTTTTAATTTACCAATCATTAGGTCTTTTTTATGTTTATCCCTACTTTAAAGGATGTTAATTTTAATATTTCAAATGGCAATGTGTATATTAACTGGTTTATTTAATAAATAATGATCTACAATCATTTAAGAAAATGATTGGTCGATAACAACTTTTAGGTTATAATTTTGTACAATTTTAGGTAATGATTAGGGATAAAAATTGGGTACTGCTTTTTATTTGACTACACATGTCCTCTTCCTCCATTCCAGGTATAAAAATAAATAATTACTAAAATACTAGTCTAATAGTTTTTATCAATCTGTCATTTGTTAATGAGATACATTATGTATTAAATTAAATAATTAATTATTTTATGTTACCATTTGAAAAAATAAACCCTTATTATCGATACCCTTTTAAGGTATAAGAGATGAACATTAAAAAAATACTTTATTATTGATAAATTCAAAAAATCATGTACCTAAAAGAAAATAAAGAAATATTCTCAATATTATTATTATTTTCTGTTTAATTAATTGTTTGTGATAAATTAATGATCTTATATATAGCAGATATTTTTACATTTATATTAAGTATTTTTATTTTTTTAATATTCAACATCTAAAATCTTTAGATGCTTAGAAATTTATTACAATATAAATGGATGGTTTTTGTGAGAAATTTGTTAAATCAAATTTTGTTATTTTTAGTTAATTTGTAATAAAAGTTGGTACTTTATTAGAAAATGTTAAATGTGTTTATAGGTATCGGTATTATTTTTATAGATACCTTAGATATAATTTTATTGTGATTAGAAATTAAAAAATCTTTTTTATCATTGGTAGAAAACATTTTATATTTTTCGTCTCCTGAAAAAGTATCATTTTTGACTTAATCAACTTTTTACAAAAATAATTCAAATTTACAATAAATTTATGTTACATAATAATAAACTTTTGTTTTGTTTACATGAATTATAAATATTAGTTACATGAGACGTTATAAAAATTAAATTGTATTTTTATGTTATTAAACTATTAGAAGTTGAAACTGACAATTAAAAAATAAACTAAAAAGATCTTCAATAACATTTTAAGTTATTGTGAAAGATATTTCTGAAAAACCTGGAAAATTTAGGGAATAGTCTAACTTTTTATTTTGATATAACAATAATTTTGAAATTCTTTAGAAAATAATTCTTATTTTTTAATATAATTGAGTATAAATTTTATTTCAGAAATGGCTTACAAATGTTTGTACAGAATGGAAAGCTGAAGATTTAGCTTCACTGGGCAATGTAATTGAGCCACCATTAACCCCTAATACAATAGACATGAATCTTAGTGGACCTGATTATATAACACCATTAATTAAAGAAAAAATAGATTCTGTATTAGGTTTCAGAAACCCCGTTAGTCCAATATTATGGAGTGTTGGTTTAAGACCAATACAAGATAGTACATCAAAGGATGGTTTTGAAATAGATGATCAACAGTCACCAACTGACTTTATAGCACCATCATTTGGTGACTATGGAAGTCCATCATCAGACGCATGGAATGTTTTTCATGAGTCTGATTTTAATTTAGATCATGCACAATTGGTAAACAAAATGTTCAAAAATAAATTTATTTATTAAAATTTTGAATTAAAAAAATTATTTTATTTAATCTATTCTAAATTTTTCAAATAGGATGAGAGAGGTCCACAAACTCCAAATATTAAATTATATAGAAAAGACGAATTAGACATTGCTCAGGANAGAATTTATAGTACAAAAATTTTTATATTAAACAAAAAATTAATATAATATTGAGAATTTTTTTTTATTTCATTTAGGTTCATGTATTTTTTAATTTACCAATCATTAGGTCTTTTTTATGTTTATCCCTACTTTAAAGGATGTTAATTTTAATATTTCAAATGGCAATGTGTATATTAACTGGTTTATTTAATAAATAATGATCTACAATCATTTAAGAAAATGATTGGTCGATAACAACTTTTAGGTTATAATTTTGTACAATTTTAGGTAATGATTAGGGATAAAAATTGGGTACTGCTTTTTATTTGACTACACATGTCCTCTTCCTCCATTCCAGGTATAAAAATAAATAATTACTAAAATACTAGTCTAATAGTTTTTATCGATCTGTCATTTGTTAATGAGATACATTATGTATTAAATTAAATAATTAATAATTTTATGTTACCATTTGAAAAAATAAACCCTTATTATCGATACCCTTTTAAGGTATAAGAGATGAACATTAAAAAAATACTTTATTATTGATAAATTCAAAAAATCATGTACCTAAAAGAAAATAAAGAAATATTCTCAATATTATTATTATTTTCTGTTTAATTAATTGTTTGTGATAAATTAATGATCTTATATATAGCAGATATTTTTACATTTATATTAAGTATTTTTATTTTTTTAATATTCAACATCTAAAATCTTTAGATGCTTAGAAATTTATTACAATATAAATGGATGGTTTTTGTGAGAAATTTGTTAAATCAAATTTTGTTATTTTTAGTTAATTTGTAATAAAAGTTGGTACTTTATTAGAAAATGTTAAATGTGTTTATAGGTATCGGTATTATTTTTATAGATACCTTAGATATAATTTTATTGTGATTAGAAATTAAAAAATCTTTTTTATCATTGGTAGAAAACATTTTATATTTTTCGTCTCCTGAAAAAGTATCATTTTTGACTTAATCAACTTTTTACAAAAATAATTCAAATTTACAATAAATTTATGTTACATAATAATAAACTTTTGTTTTGTTTACATGAATTATAAATATTAGTTACATGAGACGTTATAAAAATTAAATTGTATTTTTATGTTATTAAACTATTAGAAGTTGAAACTGACAATTAAAAAATAAACTAAAAAGATCTTCAATAACATTTTAAGTTATTGTGAAAGATATTTCTGAAAAACCTGGAAAATTTAGGGAATAGTCTAACTTTTTATTTTGATATAACAATAATTTTGAAATTCTTTAGAAAATAATTCTTATTTTTTAATATAATTGAGTATAAATTTTATTTCAGAAATGGCTTACAAATGTTTGTACAGAATGGAAAGCTGAAGATTTAGCTTCACTGGGCAATGTAATTGAGCCACCATTAACCCCTAATACAATAGACATGAATCTTAGTGGACCTGATTATATAACACCATTAATTAAAGAAAAAATAGATTCTGTATTAGGTTTCAGAAACCCCGTTAGTCCAATATTATGGAGTGTTGGTTTAAGACCAATACAAGATAGTACATCAAAGGATGGTTTTGAAATAGATGATCAACAGTCACCAACTGACTTTATAGCACCATCATTTGGTGACTATGGAAGTCCATCATCAGACGCATGGAATGTTTTTCATGAGTCTGATTTTAATTTAGATCATGCACAATTGGTAAACAAAATGTTCAAAAATAAATTTATTTATTAAAATTTTGAATTAAAAAAATTATTTTATTTAATCTATTCTAAATTTTTCAAATAGGATGAAAGAGGTCCACAAACTCCAAATATTAAATTATATAGAAAAGACGAATTAGACATTGCTCAGGATACAAATTCAAATGCTACTTATCAACAAAACAATTGTAAATGGTAAAAATTTTAAAAAGTAGTATTTGATAGTGTAACATTAATTATTTTTAGGTGAAATGACATTTATTTGTCACATATGCAATAATGAATTCAACTCATCTATAGAACTAGAAACACATTTGAAAATACACCAATCTGAATCAAACTATCAAAATGATCGTTTGACTTGTGGTATTTAAACATATATACTTATTCATTTTATTTTAGTTAAAATGACAAAATTACTAATAATTTTATTGGTTGTTTATTTTCATGTCTTTTATAAAATATGATAAATCACTAATCAAACTTTTGAATTTATTATATGCATAAAGAATATATTTTCTATTATATGTCAGAAATCGTCCATAAATAAAAATATTTGTTGTTAGCATTGGAAAAATATTGAATTTATTTAATCACTATTTAAATTAAAAACTTATTTTCACTATCCTCTATAATTGATTAAATTGATATATAAATTTATGAGAATTTCAAAGTTTTTGAAATGGTTAATTTTTGTATATATTTTACAGTATCAAAGTATAATTTTATTGTGAAGAATAAGGTAAATGTATATGGAATTATTTCACACTAAATTTTGATTGTAGGTACAGAATTTTTTCCATGAAATTGATCAATAGTTTTTATGAATACAATTAATATAGACTAAATTAAAATTAGATATACCTAATTTTTGTGATAGCTTAAGAACTGATTATTAAATTAATAAATATATACAAGGTAATTCTTTTAACACTATCCATTCAATTTTTCTTAAAAAAATAAAAGAAATTAAGTAATTAAGAAATTATTCCCATTTTTATATTTAGGCGTAAGGAAGAGTATGACTAGGAAATTACTAAGGACAAAAATTGCAGCATCCGCTCCTCTCCTTCTATCATTACTTTTAATTATTAATAATTTCCGAAATACTGGTCAAAAAGTAGTTATGAACTAGTTTTTCTCTTAATTAAATTATTTTCTATTTTATAAGCTAGTTAAATATGTATATTTGCCATTAAAAAAAACAAGGTTCTTACCCTTATAATATATGACCCTAAAAATTATTTTATAACTGATATATTAAAAAAAATATATATGAAATTAAGAACAACCAAAAAAAATGTTCAAATGACTTATTATTTTAAAAGAAATTGAGTGGCTAGTGTTAAAATAATTACCTTGTATATATGTTCATTTTTTTTTTTTATACTAAAGTTAAAGTTCATGCAGGTAAACCTACCTGAATTATTTACCAAACCAACTACCAATTGTTATAAACTTTTATGATTAAAAAATAAGTAATTATATTTTTGCTATGATAATAGTTGAAATCAAAGTAAAATAATGTATGTCAACTAAATGTTGAAAAGTATTTAAAATATTAAAAAAAAAATCTTTTTAATAAATTATTTAATTGATTACATTAAAAAAATTATGGTAAGTTAGATGTTTTGTCAATAATACTATTATTTATGTTTTATAACTTTAAACATTAGTACATATTCAAGTAATGATAATTTTCATGGAATAAATTACAGTCTACAATTAACAATTACCATGACAACATTTCATATAATTCTATCCTTTTCTTCACAAGATGATTATCGTTTGTTGCTGTAAAATATACACAAAAAATATAAAAATTTTTCAAATTTTAAAATTAACAAATATTACATTAATTAATGTGTATATATATTAATATGTACATTAAAATGTATACAAAATGAAAATTATGAAAATTTTTAATCATTTTACATATATCATTATTTTTTTATATAAATTAATAAATATATAATTTATTACGTTAAAATTGTAGATTATATACTATACACATATATATTTACAAAAATTGTGAACTTTATAATATCTATGTACATTGTATATTTTAATGTATATATTACAGAATAATAGTTTAACTATTATCTTTACACAATATCTTAAAAAATTTTAAATATAATGTAATTTTTTTTTAGAAGTTAGTAGTATCTTACATTCATAATTTTGAGAAAATATTTGGGTCCTCTACCCCCTTTTTTTTAGATAACAATTTTATGACTAGTATTTCAGCAGTTCTGAACAATTTAAACTAATGACTAGAGATGAGGAGTGGGTGCAGCTATTTTTATCAGAAGTCATTACCCGCCCATTCTATTTGTCCTATATAGGTACAAAAATGAGAATAACATCCAAAGTACTGGTCAGTCCAAAAGTTGCTTTTGACCATTCATTTTTTAAATTAAATTATTTCCTATTTTGTAAGTAATTTAAATATGTATGTTATCATATTAAAAAAATAATGTTGACATCCCTATACATTGTAAGGGATGATCTTAAAAAATAATTACTATCTGATAACTCAAGAATTATTTTTCCATTATTGTATTTTACGATTAATTGAGTGGTTTATGATAAATTGATTGTACTGTATATATATATTAATATTTTAACTAACCAAAATATATATCTATTTTTGATATATATTTGATACATTATTAAAAAAATTTTTTCTTTTTTTCAGATTTTTGTGAAAAAACTTTTTGTAAAAAGAGTAATCTTCGTGTTCATATGATGATTCATCAAAATATCAAGCCATACAAATGTTTATATTGTAATCAACATTTTGCTCAAAAAAGTACCAGAGATGTACACACAGTACAGCATACTGGTTGTTAAAAATTTATTTCTCTAAACATTTTAGTATAATTACGTATAACTTCAATTATCTACTTCTACTAAAAGATGATAAAAAAAATTATTTAATAATTTTTAAAATATAATTTTATAAGTCATAAAAATTGTAAAGTTGACTAATATGGTAAACTCTGCTTCAAAAAATTGAATGGTACATAAATCATTATTTAATAATCAGTTTTAACCACCTAAACATGTTGATTATAAAATGTATATTTGATGTAACACAAATTATAATAACTATGTCTTAATAAAAATAATAAATATAGTTTAAAAAAACTAAAAAAACACGCTTTTAAGTACATCGAACTAAAAAGTTANAAAAAGAAGGGAATTGGGGGCTTATAATTAAGATTTCAATATTTGTTATAAATATTAAATATTTTCAATTAAGCTTTATTAGTTTGTTTTATGAAAGTAATAAAAAAAATTTTACAATTTATTAAAAATGCAATCAATAACACAGAACAATAAAATTTATATATATATTATCTGAATTATGTGCAATACTAATTAAGCTACAAAAAACATTTTTTTATGAAATATAAACTTTATTTTACTATATTTATAATTAATTAACTATAAAATTTATTCTTAATTTTAGCAAAGCTAAAATTTGATTTGTATCAATATTAAAAATTTGTTAAAAAAAAGTGCAATTATTAAATTTTTATTTTATGTGTAAATTAATAAATTTTTGTTTATTCAAAGGTGATTACTTGTATAACTGCAGTATTTGTAATAAAGGGTTTGCAACCAAAGGAAAATTTAATTTTCATATGAAATCACATCAAGATGCAACATATGAATGTTTAGTGTGTAATAAACGATTTTCTACTCAACAATACTTGACATATCATATGAAAGTTCATCCAGATCAGGTTATTATAATTCTATATAGTATAAACAATATATTATAGATGTTTGGTCAATTTACATAATTATAATTGTATAAACCACAATTCATAAAAGTATAATCAAAAGGAAATTTTCTGTCATTCTTCCTTTATAAATTTTTAATGATACTTAATTTTTATAAATTTTCTGTTTATAGTTAAATATTGAATTTTGAAGAACTATTCTTGTATTTAATATGAATACTTTAAGACTTTATTAGTTTCTATAGATAATATATTTCTTGTGTTTCTCTTTATATACTACAAAATAATTATAATTTTAGGATACATTAGGATTTCACTGTGATATATGTAAATCAGTATTTAAACAAAAAAAATCTTTACTTGTACATAGAAAACAAGAACATCCATTTTCAATGTTTAAATGTCCTTCTGTAGGATGTGATAAAGAGTTTACAACAACTCAACTGCTTAATAGGCATACAAAAAGATTACATGAAAGTAAAGACAGGTAATAGAAATTAACTTAAAATAAGATTAAATAGTTTAAAAACACATAAATACTTGATCAATATCATTAAGGTGGTATAGTATTTTTCAGAGCTGTTATTTGTTTAGAATGTGGAAAGTCTTTTTGTTTTCAAAATTATTTGCAAAAACATATTGTTAGAGTACATGGACCAAAGCGGTTACCTCATTTTAAGTGTCGACAATGTCCTGAACGTTTTGATAGTGACATAATGTTACATATTCATATGCAATCTCATCCTAAGGTAATTTATAATTCATTCATAGTTTTAATTTTTTTTTATTAAGTTATCTTGTACAAAATTGATGATTTAATTTAATCAAAAGAATTTTTAGTCTTAAATGAATTAATTTTATTTAATTTTCAAATTTATCTTACAGAGTGAGAAGATTAAAGAATCTAAACGTATTTGCTGTCCCCGTGAACAATGTACTGCATCTTTTTACAATAGAGTAGCTCTTCGATATCATATTGCGGAAAAACACGATAATATATACCGGTATTATTATTTACTTGTTTTTTTAACTAAATAATAAAATAAATATTTTAATTAATTTTATTCAAAATTTAATTGAAGAATTGTAATCCATGTGATTTATTTTCAGATATGAATGTGAAGTATGCCAAAAAAAATTTGTGCGTAAAAGTCACTATAAATTACATTCTGCTATACATTTAAAAACACATTTTACTTGCAATATGTGTTGTAAACAATTTCGTAAAAAAAGCCGCTTAGCTACACACTGGAAAAAGGTACACCAACAAGAAACTTTTGATTTTGGGATGTTGTTCAGTGTTGAACCTTTTAAAAATTAATCTAAATGTTTTCAACTTTGAGTTTAGCTGAAAAGATAAAAATTAATGAAATAATGAAGTTCCTATTAATTAAATTTATTGTTATTTTAATTGAATTGAATTTATTAAATATAATAATAATAATTATTACTATTTGTTTTTAAATATCAAAAGTATGTTGATTTTCTTTTATTTAAGAAAACTTTAGATTAAAATGTTTAATAATTTAAGACTGATTATAATACTGTTACATGCTAAAAGATGAAACTATTGTTTGAATAAAAAGAACTATAGAAATAAAATTTTCATTCTAATGATTAAAAATATTTAATAGTTTCTAAGAAAATTAATCCTACTCAAAATCTATAACTCTATATAGTAATAGTCAGACCCGTGCTGACCAAATAAAATCAAAGAACAATTGTGACATATAAAACTATAGTATTATATGTCAATTATATATGTTTTAGTGACATATATGAAACTAAAACTAAATTTTTGAATATAAATGTCTGTAAAATTAGTATCCAATATAAAAATATATGTGACATAATCTGTTGTACAAATTTCTGTTTTGGAGATGTATTTAATTTATTCTGTCATTAAATTATTAATTAAGTTTAGATAATAAAAACTGATCACTTGTGGGTAATATTATTTAAAATTAAAACTATGTTAAATATTTTTAATATAGTTATAATTTTAAATAATAAAGTTTAGGATGTTAAAAAAATAAACAAACAAAATTAATTTTGGTCATAAAAATTACATTCTGTAATTAATCGTGAATAACAAATAAATAAAATATTAACATTACAATAATAATAAATAAATAATACAAAACAATTCAGGAATTCATAGAAAACATACAATAATATAATTATTGTGTATTAGTTAAGATTTTTCAAAAATGAAATATGTCAAACATTATATGAGAATTTTTAGAAGAATATGAAAGTTTACTAAATTAACTTTTTTAAACTTAAACGACTGATATAGAAAAAAAAATGGAATAACCCAATTTAAACTATAAGTGTATCTCGGTGGAAAATCAAATGCCAAATGCGTAGTTAACATTAATATTATGTAAAAAAAAAAAAACATTAATAATAATAAAGACACATTTCATACTTCATACATAAAAATAAACATACATAATATTTTAGAAAATAAACATTTTTAGTGCGTTTCAACAGTAATCACATTTGTTTAGGTAACTATGCAGTAATTATATTAAAACGAACTTGCGACAATTGCACAGCCAGATTTCCCAAGCCATGTCTTTTTAAACAATTTTACATTACTACACTTAAAATCTTAGTCAAAACGATATTTTTAGTCTTTGGTTAACATATACCCTGGTCGTAGTATTGAGCCATGTCATGGCCTTCTTTGTACCCATAGACGTCATCCACACAGCCTCCCCCGTAGCCCGTAGCGACCCCTTGGTACTGGAGCACATGATGGTGGTACGGCGTTTGGTCGGTGTACACGTTGTTGTTGTGCGCACCGATACTGTTGGGGTTGAACATGGCGTCTTTGAGTACAAGTGGTTCAGCTTGTTGCTGATGACCGTAGGAGTCGTATCCACCTTCGCCGCCGTGTACTATGTTAGGGGACCCAACGATCGCGTGGTGGTCGGTGTACTCGTGTTGGTAGTGCCTTTTGGCGCAGGGGTGAACTGTCAGCATTTTCATCAATTTATTGCGTTGCGTTTCCAATTCTTGAATCTGAGTCTTCAAGTCATAATTTTTCGTTTCGAGTGATTCTGATTCCTAAGGATTAACAAAAGAATAATAATTAGGCCTCATTAGAATACGCGTCGTTAAGCCTATAGGTATAGACCGTATTAACTTAGGATTTCGGTATAACTCCTGTAGGGGCAGCTACTGATTCAGCCAACTTTAAAGTTGTCTTAATTTTATTTAAGTATGTCGACGAGTTTAAAGATTATTATGCCAAAAGAGAGATTTGCCCATTAAAATGAAAATTGGGACTTAAAAGAATAAAAAATATGTAAACAATTTTATTTTCTAACAAATTAAGTATGTATATTCTACTTAAAAAAATTAAGTAGACGATCTTATGAGGGATGAAACGAAAAAGAATTTAATAATTGATAAACCAAAAAGTATGTGTAAGTAAAAACAAATAAAAATATCTGCGAAATTGTTTTTATATTATAAGTAATTAAGTGGATTATGATAAACGTATACATTGTATACGGAAACACTTCACAAAGTTGAATAATCAATTGTCTTTGTAAAATATTTGTGAACTATATTTTCTTACTCAATTATAGATAAATTTTAATTTATACCCGCATTCTTTTCAAATTTATCTATGCTTTTTTTTACATTAAAATTATGTTTTTAAATATTTATATTAAATACACTTTACTCTAAGTTGCTATAGTTCTTACAATATAATATTTTTATTTTCAAAACTACTGTTATAAACATTTTTAATACAAATTATTATATTTATGTAAAATAAATAAAACAATGAAGCATGTATAATTAATAATTGGGTGTTTATTAACAAAATTGCTTAGCTTATTCACCTCAAGCGTTAAAATAAATGACTAACGGAAATTACATATCACTATGTATTTTATGATGATAAACTTTTTTTTCTTATCTTTTAAAATTGAAAGAAAAATTCCGATGGGATTGCCTTCTTATATCGCAACTCGACGATAATTTGCCATTTCTAAATGCACCACACCCACGAAATAAAATTTATAAATTTGTCGGTTTCAGAATTTACACTATAATACGACTTTCCAACTAAAAACAGGTTTTTAACCAATTATTGTTTGTGTAAGTTTAACGAACTCTCCTTTGTGTCTACTTTATCGAGTAAACGGGATTCTGAGAAAAATGCTATCTTCTTAAGCGGCCAGCAGATAACATAAAATAACGCACGTGTTATAATTAATACAGTTCATTTAAAAGGAACAGAAAACACTTAAGTTAACTACTGGAAAGTACATTAGGCACCGTCAGTAATATTTTAGAAATATTGTTTTTACATAGAAGTAATGTTGTCGATCGGAAACGTTCGGTAATTATGATTTCTTACACTAAAAAAATATTCCAGTGTACGTGTCGACAATAATATTATCATGATAAATTGTTGTTCGTCTTGGAAATCTCAAATTGTTATCAAACAACATTTGCATTGCACTTGGCGTACAAATAAATAAAATCAATTTATATAGAACATTATATTCTTTAATAAACTGAATAATATTGATAGTTTGACAGGAAAAAATGTATAAACAGCTTACGAAAAACGAATTCTGGAAGACAAATTGTTATTATAAAAACAAAAATTTTGTATGAAATTGTTTTAACAGCTCATCCGAGACCAATAATTATAATATAATACCTATGACCTTCAATTTGGATCTTATTTAAAGTGAACTTTGTAATATAAAAGTAATATTGAAAGGTACTTCATTGATTATTAACGGCGAGTGACTGTGTTTTAAATTCCAAGTATAATGTAAATAATCATTGACTTCAGAATTTATTATAAACTAAACAATGTCTTTATCTCAATTAGTAAATTCTTCTATAACTATTAAATTCCAAATTTTTCATTAAAAAAATAATAATAAATAAGAAGTTTAAAATTTGTATACTTGAAAATTCTGTGCAATAGTAAAACTTACAAGAAGAAAAATTGCAATTAAATTAAATTCCATTAAATGAAGTTAGAAACAAAAAATATAGTACATTCCTTAGTTCTAAACTACAAATTAATAATATAAGATAATTGATTTGTAAAAAAAATATATAAAATATACAAAAATGTCCACTAAAAACAGTCAAATATTATTTTGACTTAAGAGCAAGTCAATAGTGGGAAGTCACTTATTGTAGGTGTAATATATGTAATAATACACAAAAATAACAATTGTTTAAGGTAAAAATAAATAAAAATTTAATAATAAAATAGTTCAATAAAATGTTAAAAAGTCTAACAAGAATGTTATATTTCTTTGTAATACATTTTATGAAACATTTAATTTTTATCATATTGCAAATAAAAACATTAAAGATTCACCTTGTATATTGGATACTTCATAAAACTATTTATATTGCTACTAAGTGAATGGAACTACATAATTAAAAAAACTATTTCACTAACCTTAAGTTGAAATTAATAAACGCCTAAAGTAAATTATCTGTACAGTTTTATAACTTTTAATGGTTTACTATAAAAACGTCCAATTAATAAGGATAAACCAAACTGTTAAAATCTCGCAAATGGAATATATATACACGATATTAAAAAAAGCCGTCAAACGTCAAGTGGAAGGCCTTAAATTTTACTATCAATCCCCAGCAACCATGTTACTGAATATTATAAAAAATGTATTTTTACTAACCTAAAACATTCAAATTGGAGTGTAAAGGACGTGTAGATAGATGACAGTGGCAAATTACAAAAATATGCATAATGATGGTACTTATGGCTTGAAATGAGGAGGTACTTTAGAGGCACATACTTAGAAATGGATAGGAGGGATGGACTACACCCGAACCTTTTTTAGTATGAGCAATTTTGTATAATAACATATTACCATCTGTTTGTTTATAAACAACATATCTCAAAGTTTTTTTGGTTTTGTCATTAAATATAATTTATTTTATTGCTTCTTTGTTTTCCATACCATAATTCTATCGGCAGTCGATCCCTCTATTTTGACCATGATTAACGGCCTAAATAACGCTTTTGTTTATTCTATTTCTAGGAATTTTCCGAATTGATACCCATAAATATTAAGAGTAGAAACACGTGCACGTGGTACAATTTCTATTTGGCATCGAGCCATCGCTTCAATGACCGTAAAAAATGCAAGTTAAAATACAATACTAGAAAAGACACTAACTTGAACCAGGTTCACTGTTTTTTCTCGTTTCTTTAGTCGACATTTGGTGGCTGCTATCTTGTTTCTTTCTCTTCGTCGTCTCCGCCTTTCTTCGTCTTCTGCTGTCAACTACAAAAAGCAAAGATGATGTAATTAATATTAAAAGTAAACGGCGATTACTCAAAAAACAATGAATTACTATTATCATTAATGTCAACCATTTATAAAAAAGTGTTTTGATGTAAAAATAAATTAATATTTTATGATTCTGTAACTATTACAATGCAAATGACAGCTACTTACTCCTTCCCCATAAGAAGACACGTCATCGTCATCATCGCCGTGTGATTCTTCGTCTTGTCTGCGTTTTTTGACTTGACTATTCAAAGATCCCGTTGAACTACCAGCAGAAACAGAGCTGACAGGTGACGTAGCGGCGGTCTGCACTACAGCGTTCTTTTGTTTTTGTCGGATAGCCATTTTAAGTTCTTCTTTAATGAGAAGACTGGAGCAAATGTTTTGCATCCTCGGCGGAGATATGGGCGAAGACGAACTGGAGGAGTCTTCGGACACTGGTGAACTGGCAAACCTGTCGAACGGGTTCATCATGGATATGATAGAGTTGATCACTTCAGGAGTCCTGGGGATTTGTGAACAACCACTTACCCCACTTATCGCCTGGTGGTTGGATGACGTTGAATACATGATTTTTTTTATTAAATTTTCAATTGATGAAGTGCAGTACAACACTTATTACAGCGCTCTAGTGGTGCCTGCTAGTTGTATTTGAAAACAGAGATCTGGTGACTGGCAAATGCTTTGGACAACGTTATAAACGTTATATTATAAATGAGGTAAAATGGAAGAATTTGTTATCACACTACGATTTATTTATGAGAACGCACCAACTGAATACACACACACACACAGATTTGGTCCTAAAAAAAAAACATTAAGATCCATTAGTCTAACATTACTTAACAATAAAATATCAATTGTNGAGAACGCACCAACTGAATACACACACACACAGATTTGGTCCTAAAAAAAAAACATTAAGATCCATTAGTCTAACATTACTTAACAATAAAATATCAATTGTAGTTTGTCTACTAATGTTTTGTACAAATTTAATGATTACATATGTAGAGAAACAATGATAAAGAATTAACTCAGTCATTACACTTTTTATTTTATTGCCTATATAGGCAGTAAGTTTCAAATTGTTTCAAAAGGAATTTCGGGTAACTACACACATTATTTGTCCATTTGGAACAATAATTATTAATGGACATCACTGCATGGAATCTAAACAAGATGTCATACTGAATAAGTCACGAGATATATTGAATTATTTATAATATCTAAGAATTGTACTTAAATAGTTAATCAGTCATAGCAGAATGTTGTAAACTTCACTTTAATCTTAAAATAGGATTTGAATATAAAATAAATTTTAATGTCAACATAAGCTATTTTAATTTTGTATGCTAATGTACATCAATTCTTAGAATTGATTGTAGAATATATTATCAAATAGGTAATTTTAGTATTTTTTTTCCTTAAAAATATTTACTAATTTAAATTTACTTAAAAGCAATGAATATTGAGTATTATTGGTATTCGGTAAAAATGTATAGAATTACATGGTATGAAACTATAAATAAAAAAGACATGTCTTTATCATAAAATACTAGAGTCAAACGATTATATGATTGATTGTCGATATCAGTTTGAAAAATATTAAAAATAAACTGAAGCTGTAGTTAAAAACATAAAAAAATGAAAATTATATGAAAAAACCTTCACTTAACCTTTATATGGAAGATACTGAATCATATAGTGTATTAGATACTACAAGGGTTATCATGTGCCGTTGAATTTAAATCGTTTCAAATGCGAGTTGGTACAATTGTAATGTCGATAGATATTGAAAAATTATCGATAAACCAATCATTACGAAAGCAAAAGGACACCAATACTAATAATAATATGTACCCAAAATTATGTATATATTTTCTTAAGGAATATCATTGTATCATAAAAAATAGTAACATCATCGTATACCACTCCCTAGTAATGCCCACGATTGTCGTACACAAGTACTTATGTAGATAAAAATTTCGCTAAAACTGGTCATCATTCAAACGTATGCACTGAACTTTCATTTTCTATGCCATTTGTCCAACCAAACAAATTTGTCGTAGAGCTGTTCGTTAAGTTAAATAAAAAATATACAAAAAAATAACTTCCGCATAAGGAAATCGAATGTTTGTACATTACACATATATTGAAGTGATGTCTGTGAATTTATGTACAGTAACATGGGAAAACAGCCAAAAACGGCGTACAGTCGAAAACGTGTAAATTATTTGTATAGTTGTTAGATATCGAATTTCAATCTGAATTTGCAATTCTGAAAAGAATGTATTATTAAATAGTTTTTACACTACGCGAGCGTTTATAGAATTACACTCGATTATTTTCATGAGATAGAACATATTTCATTATATTTTATTAGTATACTTGATCAAACTCCGTTAGAACACATACAATAAATATTTAACGTATTTGTTAAAATTATTTCAATCGAGACACGAAATACTCAGTTTACTGAATTTCATAGCTTGATTCTATTAATGTTTTTTTTTTTTTATATTAAGTTCTTCTTTTGTTGTTTAAATAACTTAATAACAAAATAAGTGAACGATTATGTTTTGATTTTTAAAAGCGATCGTGTATCCAGCTGTCAATTAATTGTTTGGACTATTTACTTCAGATTCAGTAAAAAATCTACTACACGCGAAAGATATAAATTATGGGTACAAATAAAATACCTTTTAACGGACTATTATTCATGTTTGGTTAACTTTTATTTTAATAGAAATTAGCGTGTTCATTAGAATATGATAAATTATTGCTGTTGATTAATCAAAAGGGCAGGGTTATCTTTAAATCGATAAGCGAAATGAATATAAATCACAGCGCACTGTCCTAATTCAGGTATTATGCTAATTAAACACAATTTAAAGAAATTAACAAGAGTTACATTCATCATAATAACAGAGACTCGACATGAGCAGCATACAATAACATGTTATTATTTGTTTCGAGTAAATTATTATTATTTTTTTTTTATCCTTTTTTTTTTTCGTTTTTAATGAAAAGATAATGATTCACAACACGGTTTAATAGAATTTCAAAAGAATTATGAAGGCATTACATGTGGCGTATACTGTTATAATGTAATAACTATTGAATCAGCCGCGTGTATTTTCGATTAATATTTCATTAGAAACCAATAAAAATGCCATTTCACACGTCTGTTAGGTGGAAAATGAACTATTCCATTGAGCACCGGATATTCATTAAGGATTCCGTTTTGAAAATATGAATAACGTTAGTGCTCTGGCTGATGTACATGAAGTATATTTTATTTGTTATGGAGTGCCGTCTGTTTGTTTACTCAAGAGAAACACTCAAATATTATATTGATAACACAATACAAACAATGATTAGTGTAGAGTGTCATCATCTCGCGCCATATTTACAATTTTTCAACAGTCGTTAGCTTATTAGTTATGATATCGTACATCGAAACGATAATATATGTTGGCCGCTTACAGAATGAAAGTGTTGGCGTTAAATATTGTTTCTCGAGTTCGGTATGATAATTAATCAGTCTCCATAAAATATAATTAGAACTAATAATAATACACCAAGTGCAACGAACACAAGTAGGTGTGTACATGACATTGCAATGCATTTTTTCACGCGGTCTCTTAACACATCACTTCATCCTTTGCGACTTACGTGCCCCAAGTCGAACAGATTAAGAGGATTAGCAATATCGTCCAATCGTAACGTCGCATTTCTCTGATACTATAAATACTCGAGTATTCGGTACCGAGAAAGAGTTAAGATTACAATTTTTTGTCATACAAAGTAGTTTATTTTTCGTTTGTTTTCTATTAGCCGTAAACAATGTGTGTACACAACAGTATCTAACAGTCTCCACACGCGACGACGTTCCTATAGAAAAGTTTTCACGAGAGCCGACAGCGGATTACAAAGTTATCGCCAATAACTTGTAATCGCCCACACAAAAAGGTTACTGTCTGCCGAGACATTTTGACAAACACAATCTATAAAATTCGATATTTGTTTGTATTGTTTTACTGCAACAACATGGAACATTAATCGTCGTGTGAATGTTTTTATAACACATAACAGCAAGTGTTTCGTTTCTTTTTGCAAGACAGACTCTTAGTTTCCGGTCAATGTAATGCCATCCCACCAGGGTCGTAAGCTGTTAATTACGCGGTCTATACCAGCACATAAAAATAATGTGCGCATTCACACACATAGCGTTGCCATAAGTTGCAATAATGGACTTGTGTCGAGGAAATACCACATGGACTACTACTACTACTACTACTATTACGATAAAATAGGCGCCTGTTTAATTGGCTTTTTATTCCAGGAACGAAAAAAAAATAGGCCGAATGATGGAATGGTTTTTTTAACGATCATTTATTTATCCCATGACACTTTACATGTGACAAAGTGCTGCCGCATCGGTTTTACAATGTCACAATGACGCTCACATGAGTTTATTTTACACTATGTGTATGTTAGTCGGAGAAGTCGATTTTGATAGACACATTTTCATGGGGTAAATGCTCTGCGAATGTTAAAAGTACATTTTTTACATTAAAGTCTATTCAAATAGACAAATGCATAACAATACTCTATATGTTAAGACGTAGTTCGCAATATGACTGTAAGTTACATCAATGAAAGGCAACAAAAATATAGATCTTTATCTAAACTGTAACAAGGGTTAAGAGCTGAAATGATTTCTGGTTTTCGAAAAATTTTACGGTATCTCGTAAGTTAGTTGATTTATATTCAAATGTGTTCGACAATTTTTAAGGTTAAGAATTGTTGTAAACACAAGTATTATGCAAAAACTTTTTAAAATCTTAACCAAACTTAAAATTTTACATTATAAAGTTTAAAATCGATTAAGGTTTCAAATGCGGTCTCATTATACTTTTGGTGTCTGTAATAATTTCTTCAACATGTAACTAATAAATAAAATTTTATATAGATGAACTTATTTACTAGGTATAAGAAGAAACATTGCCAAAATTCGAAATTATTTCGGTTCCTAGTCTTAAATGTAGCACAGTATTTAAAAATATAGATAATTTATAGACTTCTTTAATTATCTTGTGCCTAATATTAGTAATTACGCGTTTAAAATTCTCAATATTTCCAACGTATTAAAAATTGTCTAAATATTTCTAAATTTAGAAAAGTTATAAGAATATTTTTTAACTTATTTTTAATCACACTATTAAAACAATGGTATACACTCGATTTATGTGGTATAGAACTTCTAAAAATTTAAACATTTTTCTCGGACAAGGTATGACTTTTGATTTATTTGAATGCAATATTTGATCGAAATTCATTAAGTGAATAATTTTATAAAGTTTTTATTTCTAATAAAGTGTATAGATTTCCGCCGTAAAACGTTTTCAGTTCAGTACGTGTATTTATACGACACTTTTATATGATTTACTCATTAAAATCACTATTTATTAGACGCAATTTGAAATTGTTAAATATAATTAAATGAACATAATAAATATTTAATATGTATGTGAATGTATACATTTATTAAATTTTCTAAATATAAATTTATATTTATTTATAATCTTTAAATATAGTAGGTATAGTTATGTAAATCAATAATTCAGGGTCTCGGCACGCCTTAAGGATACTTATGTAATAACAAAACGAGAATATATTTTCGTGTCACTTAATATCAAAGTAATAAGAAAAGTTAGATGGTAGCCAAGTATGGCTGCAGCAGAGTGGATGTGGATTGCAAGATAAAATCAATGAATTTTTTAAATAATATTAATTT